AAGGCGGGAGCCTTGGCGGTCCAATCCCCAGACAAGAAAACTAGTTTTTGGGACATGGAACGTCACCTCGCTGGCGGGGAAGGAGCCGGAGCTTGTGGCAGAGGTTGAGCGGTACCGGCTAGATATAGTCGGACTCACCTCGACACATTGCATTGGCTCTGGAACCCGAGACCTGGAGAGGGGTTGGACACTCTACTTTGCTAGAGTTGCTCCGGGTGAGAGGCGGAGGGCTGGGGTTGGCTTTTTGTTAGCCCCGAGACTCTCTGCCTGTGTGTTGGGGTTTACCCCGGGGGACAAGAGGGTAGCTTCCTTGCGCCTTCGGGTCGGGGAACGGGTCCTGACTGTTGTTTGTGCTTATTGGCCAAATATCAGTTCAGAGTACCCACCCTTTTTGGAGTCCCTGGGACGAGTGCTAGATAGTGCTCCATCAGGGGACTCCATTGTCCTGCTGGGGGACTTCAATGCTCACGTGGGCAATGACAGCTTGACCTGGAGGGGTGTGATTGGGAGGAACGGCCCACCTAATCTGAACTCGAGCGGTGTTTTGTTATTGGACTTCTGTGCAAGCCGCAGTTTGGCCATAACGAACACCATGTTCGAACATAAGGATGCCCACCGGTACACTTGGTACCAGGGCAGCCTAGGTCACAGGTTGATGATAGATTTTGTAGTCGTATCATCTGACCTGCGGCCGTATGTTTTGGACACCCGAGTGAAGAGAGGGGCGGAGCTGTCAACTGATCACCACCTGGTGGTGAGTTGGATCAGATGGCAAGGGAACATGCCGCGTAGACCTGGCAGACCCAAACGCATAGTGAGGGTCTGCTGGGAACGCCTGGCAGAAGAACCTGTCAAGACGGTCTTCAACTCCCACCTCCGGCAGAGCTTTGACCACGTCCCGAGAGCAGTGGGGGACATTGAGTCCGAGTGGGCCTTGTTCCACTCTGCAATTGTCGAGGCGGCTGTTGCTAGCTGTGGTCGTAAGGTGGCCGGTGCCAGTCGTGGTGGCAACCCCCGTACCCGCTGGTGGACACCAGAGGTTCGGGGAGCCGTCAGGCTGAAGAAGGAGGCCTACAGGGCGTGGCTGGTCTGGGGGGCTCCGGAGGCAGCAGACAGGTACCGGATAGCCAAGCGGGGTGCAGCAGTGGCAGTTGCCGAGGCAAAATCTCGGGCGTGGGAGGAGTTTGGTGAGGCCATGGAGAAAGACTATCGATCGGCTCCAAAGAGGTTCTGGCAAACTGTCCGGCGCCTCAGGAGAGGAAGGCAGCAACTCGCTCACACTGTTTAAAGTGGGGATGGGGAGCTGCTGACGTCAACTGAGGCTATAGTCGGACGGTGGAAGGAATACTTTGAGGAGCTCCTCAATCCCACCAATGCGCATTCCGAGGAGGAACCAGAGCTGGGAGGCCTGGGGATGGACTGTCCGATCTCGGGGGCAGAAGTTGCTGAGGTAGTCAAACAACTACACAGCGGCGGAGCCCCGGGGGCGGATGAGGTTCGTCCTGGGTATCTCAAGGCTATGGATGTTGTAGGGCTGTCATGGTTGACACGTCTCTACAACATTGCGTGGTCATCGGGGGCAGTTCCTAGGGAGTGGCAGACCGGGGTGGTGGTCCCCATCTTTAAGAAGGGTGACCTGAGGGTGTGTTCCAACTATAGGGGGATCACACTCCTCAGCCTCCCTGGAAAGGTCTACGCCAAGGTACTGGAGAGGAGGGTCCGATCGATAGTTGAATCTCAGATAGAGGAGGAGCAATGTGGTTTTCGTCCTGGCCGTGGAACTGTGGACCAGCTCTATACCCTTGCAAGGGTGATGGAGGGGGCATGGGAGTTTGCCCAACCAATCCACATGTGCTTTGTGGATTTGGAGAAGGCTTATGACCGTGTCCCCAGGGGCACCCTGTGGGGGACGCTCCAGGAGTATGGGGTGGGTGGCTTTCTGTTAAGGGCCATTCAGTCCCTTTACCAGAGGAGCGTGAGTTTGGTCCGCATAGCCGGTAGTAAGTCGGACCTGTTCCCAGTGAGGGTTGGACTCCGCCAGGGCTGCCCTTTGTCACCGGTTCTGTTCATCACTTTTATGGACAGAATTTCTAGACGCAGCAGTGGTGTGGAGTGTGTCGAGTTTGGTGGCAGGAGAATCTCGTCTCTGCTTTTTGCGGATGATGTGGTCCTCCTAGCTTCATCCAGCTCTGACCTTCAGCTCTTGCTGGGTAGGTTCGCGGCCGAATGTGAAGCGGCTGGGATGAGGATCAGCACCTCCAAATCTGAGACCATGGTTCTCGACCGGAAAAGGGTGGCTTGCCACCTCCGGGTCGGGGGAGAGGTCCTACCTCAAGTGGAGGAGTTTAAGTATCTCGGGGTCTTGTTCACGAGTGAGGGTAGGAGGGATCGGGAGATCGACAGGCGGATTGGTTCGGCGTCCGCAGTGATGCGGACGCTGAGCCGATCTGTCGTGGGGAAGAGGGAGCTGAGCCAGAAAGCCAGGCTCTCGATTTACCGGTCGATCTACGTCCCAATCCTCACCTATGGTCATGAGCTTTGGGTAATGACCGAAAGAACAAGATCGCGGATACAAGCGGCCGAAATGAGTTTCCTCCGTAAGGTGGCCGGGCTCAGCCTTAGAGATAGGGTGAGGAGCTCGGACATTCGGGAGGGACTCGGAGTAGAATCGCTGCTCCTCCGGATCGAAAGGTGCCAGTTGAGGTGGTTTGGGCATCTGGTCAGGATGCCTCCTGGACGCCTCCCCGGGGAGGTGTTTCGGCCATGTCCTGCCTGCAGAAGGCCCCCGGGTCGACCCAGGACACGTTGGAGAGGTTACATCTCCAATCTGGTCCGGGAACACCTTGGGGTCCTGCCGGAGGAGCTGGTGGACAAGGCCGGGGAGAGGACGGCCTGGAGCTCCCTAATTGGGATGCTGCCCCCGCGACCCGGACCCGGATAAGCGGAGGAAGACGAAGACGAAGACAAGACTATTTTTCCAGGATAGGTAGGCCTCCTCATGGTGCGTAGAGCGCCATGTTCTCTCCAATTTCCTAGAGTTTTGTTTTAAGGCTCGTCGATGAGAGTTAAACCAGGGAGCCAACTTCCTGTTCCTAATTACCTTCTTTTTTAAAGGGGCAACATCATCTAATGCCACATGTAAAGAGGAATTAACATGATGAACTAAGGCATCAATTTGTGAGGGGCTAGAACTGAAAATATTGCCCTCTGCTACATTCCTCTTAGATGCTGAGGACAGTAAAGTTGGAACAGTTGGTTTAAAAGATGCAACTGCGTTGTCAGATAGAGACCGACTATAGTGAAATTTACTTTCATGTCTCGAGAACTCAGTTATAAAAAACTCAAAGGTTATCAGAAAGTGGTCCGAGAGGACTGGATTATGTGGAAAGATTGTTATTTCCTCACACTCAATGCCATAAGTCAGCACAAGGTCTAATGTATGATGGCAGGAGTGGGTGGAGCTATGTATTCTTTGAGTAAAACCAATTGAGTCTAAGATATTACTAAAGGCTACATTGAGGCTATCATTTCCAATGTCCACATGAATGTTGAAATCCCCCACTACAATGACCTTATCAGTATTTAGCACCAAATCAGATAAAAAATCAGAGATCTGATCCAAAAACTCAGAGTAAGGGCCTGGTGGACGATATAAAACTACAAACAAGAGTGGTTTTACAGTTTTGCAATCTGGATTAGGAAAACTAAGAATAAGATGTTCGAACGAACTGTAACTATTAATCTGTAAGGGACTGATTAATAAGTCCGAATGAAAAATGGTTGCTACTCCTCCTCCTCGCCCTGTACTTCGAGCAATATGATGATTTAAATAATTTGAAGGAGTCGACTCGTTTAAGCTAACATAGTCCTCTTGCTGCAGCCAGGATTCTGTGAGAGAGCAAAGAGATCTGATTATCACAAATCAAGTCATTAACTAACAAAGTCTTAGAAAAAATGGATCTAATGTTCAACAACCCACATTTAATTTTTCTAGTTTTCTGCTCAGTTGAATTTGTTCTAATATTTATGAGATTTCTATGATTTGCTTTATTAAGCCTGATATTTAATCTGTGTGATTTTGGCCGTGGGCAGCCAAAATTAGGATGGGAGGCCTATGGGGTAGTGGGTGGGTAACAGTACAGAAGCTGCAGAGGGGTGGGTTAAACTACGACTCTGCTTCCTGGTCTGGACCCTGGGTTGTCATGGAGGACTAATAAAACTGGCCATATTCCTAGAAAGAAGAGCTGCTCCATCCAAAGAGGGATGGATGCCGTCTCTCTGCATCAGACCAGGTTTTCCCCAAAAAGTTTTCCAATTATCAATGTAGCCCACGTTGTTTTCAGGACACCACCTAGACAGCCAGCGGTTGAAGGACAGCATGCGGCTAAACATGTCGTCACCGGTCCGATCGGGCAGGGGGCCAGAGAAAATTACAGAGTCTGACATTGTTTTGGCAAACTTACACACCGAAGCATGATTAGTTAATAGAAACAGAATGAATAAAGTTGGGTTTGTAGCACATAAATGGTATTTCAACATTTGGACTTTGTTCTGTAAACATTTCCTCCTTCTTTTATCTTTAAAACATCATTAATATGCTACAAGAATCTAATTATTCTATTATAGTTTTATTTGTCATTATAATGCAGGAAAATTCCCTGTGTTGCAGGAGATAATCGGTCTGCTCTAGCCCACATTGCAGTGATTTTTCAGATTAAAGACACATGAAAACTTGTTGTTTTCCTTCCTCATTCTCGGTCAGACCTGTAGCTGTAGGCAGACCTGCTGATGGGGAAGACAAATGGGCCTGTTGTCCTTGGCCCAGGGTAGGAGGGGGGCCTGGATGCACAAGGGAAAAGGAATGGGGGCTCATCTAATATTATTTCATCCCAGTCAAGGCTGCCAGCTGACCTGGCTGTGGGGCTCATAGCCACTAAAGCTGGGGGAACAGAAGTGGACTGTGACTCTGTAAAATCACTTGTCTTTAAATGTGTCCACAGGTGAAGTCGGTCATCAATCTGCTGTTTGCTGCTTACACAGGAGACGTCTCTGCCCTGAGGAGGTGACGAACACAACTTCTAACCCCTAAACATGGGTCATTTCAGACCCTCTTTCCCAGAAAGATCCATTTCTGGCACAAACGTAGAACTACGGATTATAGAATTCACAAAGGCAACTAACATTCCTCTCAGTGTAGTTGATCTTGATGCCCTCTAGTGGTGGAAAGGGGACGTTTTAGTAATGGCACAACTAACTAGTGAGATTTTTATTTTCTTATATCAAATAATTTGCAGCAAACATGTGTGTTTATAATTAGAAAACACATTTACACATCCTCCACCGGCTTCTTGCACTTTTAATTTTGTTTAATTCAAGGCAAGGCAGCTTTGTTTATATCGCTCATTTCATACACACAGGCAAATCAATGTGCTTTCCATTAGAAAGAATACCAAGAACATTAAAATAAACATGAAAGTACAATTTAAAAATGAAAAAGAAGCAAAGTTAAAGGGTGAACAAATACAGTGAAGAAGATGCTGCATAAGAACATTCATTCAAAGGCTGATGAATACATGAAAGTTACTAGAGCTGGGGCACATTGGAGGTGATGAGGACGCTGATTCCATCTGTGAGCAGCATCGTAGCTAAAAGCAGATTCACCCTGTTTGGTTCTGACCCGGTTCTACCAGGTGACCGCTTCCTAAGGATCTCAGAACCCTGCTGGGCGTAGATACAGGAAGGACATCCCACATGTCTTCTGGCCCCATGTTACTGAGTGTTTATAAACTAGTAGTACTTTCAAATCAATTCTGTAGTTCTAAGACCAATGCCCATAGGCGTCAGTTTAACCGGGGACGCCGGGGACATGTCCCCGGCAAAATTTGTGATTGGCAGCTGTGTCCCCCCCACTTTCAAAAAAGCCTGCTGATGAGGATTTTTGTTTTACCAGCTCAGATCTTTTACCAGGGGTCGGCAACCTGTTCCCATCAAAGAGCCATTATTACCCGTTTCCCACAGTAAAGAAAACACCGCAGCAGTCGCATCGTTGTGGGCGGGGCCTACCCTCAGACAGCAGAGAGCTGCTCACAACAGGTGACAGTCAGCAGCCGGTACCATGAGCGTCGCACCCGTGGGGGATTCAACACCCACACTTTTCCAGCTGTTTTGCTCACCTCCACACCAGTCTGGTTTCTTTACGTCGCACCCGCTCTGTTTGCCTCATCTCCTTCTTCATCCGCTTCTGACAGCCGATGTCGGGTTTCCAGGAGAGCAGGAGTGGGAGGGACGGAAGAGCTCGACTGAATAATTTTACATCTTGACATTAGCTGTACAAAGTCTGATAAAGTGAAGAACAACCACTTGCAGAGGTTTATGATAGGCGCGGCGCCAGGTTTTCATTTTTGGGTGGGCCACAGTAATTCTGGACGGACCTTAATAAGCAGTGGCTTAGTGAAGCAGGCAGGTCGCGCTAGAAATTTTCGTTTAAAAAGACGTCATAAATGTGTTCCCCCGTCATTTTTATTTATAAAATATGAAGTAAAAACTCCCAATTTAATTTTCATTCATTTGTCATTAATATTTAGTCTACACCCGTGCGTTAAGTGGACCAGTAAACGCAAAGCATCCAGCCCACCTCTCCAAATGCGTAAAATGTGCATCAGCCGCTATAGGCGTGCCGCGCGTACCATCAGCTGATCAGCCCAGACAAGAGCAGAGCAAATAGAGAAAGAATGGAGGATAATTGTGTCTGGATGTGGATGGAGATTACATTTTACATCAGCCTGATCATCATTTAAATACGTAAACCATCACCTGTCTTAGTCCACGCTATCAGCATTATTTTATCTGGTGTGTGTGTGTGTGTGTGTGTGTCTTCCACTTCAAACACTGGTCTAAACAACCAGACCAGCGTGTCCAGTAACATATTAATGTTACAATTAAACAGTTTCACTTCATGTAGGCTAGGAACGTTTCACCTGCCGTGGCCCGACCGCTTCTGCTCCACATAAACTTTGTGCGTGATCATATGTCTGGAGCTTTCTGAGCTGAAGAGGCGACTGGATGCGTCATGCGTCTCCATATTGGAGACGGGAACAAGCGCTGTTCAGCCAAACTTTCATAATTTCATAAAAATAAAATTTTTCCAAGTGACACATTCCTCAGAGAGACCGGGTTTCCAGACCGCTTCAGTGGGAGGAAATCAACGAACATCCTTGAGTTTATCCGTCAAAATAAACAGTCAAATGTAAATATCTGTAACCTGCCATTTAACTGTTTTGCCTTCTTGTGAAGATTGTTGCAAAGAGAAACAACTAAACCTGATTAACCCCAGAGCCACGCGCACTGCGCTGTACGTCGTGACTGTAAATGAGGGGGAAACGATTTAATCGGATCCTGTTATTTCAACATGGTTTAATGTAAAGTTTCATTCAGTACAAACTTTAGTTACCTAACGAGACAGAGCCTGGATTTTTATTCTGAACAGCTTAAACATGTTTAAAACGGAGACATGCGTGACGCGTCTAAAATTCGCACCTGCTCCGCTATTATGGAAATTAAACTAACAAGGTGAATAACATCAAATTATTTTAGGCACAGACAACATATCCCACGCGCCTGGTCGCTCGTGTACGTCAAAGTTATCTTTCGTAAGAAGATAATCAATAAAACGATTTATATAAAGTGGATCCAGAAGTTGTAGCTCGTCTCTGCCGACAATATTTTGATATTTTTCACCCTGTTGGTGGTTTTACTGAGCAGGTGCCACTTTTGTCACGCGATTCTTTTTAAAACATGTTTAGACTGTTCAGAATACAAATCCGGGCTCTGTCACGTTTGATTGTTGTAATTAAACTTTGTAGGTGGGGAAGGTCAGAAAGCAGCTCAGAAGCGCATATGATTACGCACAAGCGTGACGCGTCAACCCGGTCTCACAGTAAGACTGGGTCGGACCAGTTCAGGTTTACGCAGACAATCTTTACATTTAGAATTGGCATACAGATGTAAAATTAATGCAGTAAAATATAAAGCATTTTATTTAAATATCCATTCATTATTTTACAAGCACAGAGAGCTGCATCAGATGGATGGAGGAGCCGCATGTGGCTCCAGAGCCGCCGACCCCTGTGCTAGCCTACTTTATTGTCCCCAGCAATTTTTAAACCCCACTCAAGTGTATGGTTATTGTCCCCAGCAATTCTGAAAACAAACTGACGCCCTTGCCAATGCCAATATGTAGGAGACATGGTAAGCCGATAGCTGATAAGTACTGCCAATTTTTATGGCTGCTGTCATGGATTTATAATTATGTTTATCAATAACCCATTTACTATAGTGAAGAGAGAAGGAGACAATGATCAACAAGTCAAACAGTTATTACTGTGGCAAGATGCTCGAGGCAAATGCCCCGAACATCCAGTCACAGAGTTTATTTATTTATTTATTTATTTAGAGAGAGAGAGAGAGAGAGAGAGAGAGAGAGAGATTGTCTGTGTGTGTGTGTGTGTGTGTGTGTGTGTGTGTGTGTGTGTGTGTGTGTGTGTGTGTGTGTGTGTGTGTGTGTGTGTGTGTGTGTGTGTGTGTGTGTGTGTGTGTGTGTGTGTGAATGAGTTGTGAACAAGTGAGCATGCAGAGGCATAGAGCAATACATATTACATTCAGTTGGTTGAGTCCATGATCAAGAATTAATGAACATATTTTTTCCATAACAGCTGCTATCAAGACGTCTCCCACCTCAGTAACATCAGTTGATGCACAACGTTTCAGAAGCTGAATCTGTTTCTGAACTCTGAATTTAACTGACTGTTAAATCTTAACTTTGTGCACTGCTCAGTGTTAAAGTCAGACACCTAAAGTTAATTTAAAGTATTTATTATGCAGACGTTAATGAACGTAAAAATACATTTAAGTTAAATTCTGGGCTATTGGCCAGTTCCAATGTATAAAAATGGTAAATATTCGCCGACCGATATATCGAATATAAAGCTGAATGTACAAATAATCAGCGCTTGAATGTTCAGGTTTGCGCTGTCGTCTGTGGACATGGAGCAGAGGGACTACGACTCCAGGACTGCTCTTCATGTGGCAGCAGCTGAAGGTAAACCAACTAAAAACTCAGAATGAAAGAAGCTGCAGTCATTTGGCTCCAGCCGTCAAACCTGCTTTATTTTTAGGACACATTGATGTGGTCCGCTTCCTGCTGGAGGCTTGCAAGGTGAATCCAGTGCCCAAAGACAGGTGAGTCCAGGTGAACTGTATTAAAATACAACCAAATCTCTAAATCTTTCTTCAGAATTGGAATGGACGGGCTTTTTAATCAGTCATGTCTCCTATAAAGAAACAGGAACATCTGTGTTTTCTGTGCTCAGATGGGGGAACACACCGATAGATGAAGCCATGCACTTTGGGCACCATAACGTGGTCACCCTACTGAAGCATCATCAGGACAAGTACAGTCCACCTGCTGCTCCTGATGAGAAGACGTGGTGAGAAGAACCTGGACAGCCTTTTGTAGACCTGCTGCTGTCCTCTACGGGTTTCCACACTCCAGAGCAGGACTCAGGCACCTGAAACATGTGATGAGTTAGTTCTGCTTTGTATTTCTGACCATATGTGTGTGTGTGTGTGTGTGTGTGTGTGCGCGCGCGTGCGTGCGTGCGTGCGTGTGTGTGTGTGTGAGCAGCTTGCTTATATCTGATGTATACAGTTACATTTGATCAGTTTAAGACTATACAGCCTCAGAAAACCGATCATATCAAAGACTCTTGGTTTTGTTAGTTGGATTATAATCCCTCTGTGTTTAGTTTGTAAAACGTTGTGATGTGTTGAATTTCTGCTGTAAACTGTGAATGTTTCTCTGCAGCTTCTCGACTTTACCAGCTCTGTAATCTGAATGGTTATTTATTGATTGTTGACTAAACAGGTGCAGGTTTAATTCCCTGATGCCTGACAATGTTTGTATTCTGAATGTATTTCATAGTGGCAGCATAAAAAACTCCATGTAGTTATTTTACATGAATTCTTTTGAAGGTTGTGTAATTTAATGCATTTGAGATAAAGTAGTGTTTTTTGTTTGAATTTGAACGTGTGTGTGTGTGTGTGTGTGTGTGTGTGTGTGTGTGTGTGTGTGTGTGTGTGTGTGTGTGTGTGTGTGTGTGTTGTGGGCTTTTGTTTTGGTCCTGAGAAAAAAGTTAGAATATTGTATTTTTTAGACTTTTACTTAAAATTATGATTTAAATGTGAGGGTCAGCTAATCTAATATGGCCATAGAAACAAAACCAACTCAGACTCCGATGAACTTTATTGATCCCCAGGAAAGGTTCCTCTTGGAAATTCTATTCTCCATCAGCATTTTCCTCTTACCAATCCAACAGATATCATTGAAAGAACTTAACATTTAAGAGATTGATCAAGTCTCTTACATTCTTAAAGAAGTCTTGCTTCTTTTTTGGGAGTATTACCTAAAATTTTGAAGCTTTGAGTCCTTTTTTTCTTCATCACATGTGCTCTACAAGTAACACTGGGCCTACTGGAACCTGGAATTGTTTTTGTCTTCTAAGAATTTAAACAGATGATCAAGAAACATGGCGAGATATGGACAATATCTGATAAGTGTGAGAAAAATAGCTATGTATGTAAATGTGTGGAAAATTTCATGAGTTAGATAATATTGATCCAGAACTCCACCTTTATCACAATGTTGATATTACATGTGATTATTATAGTGGGGAAGAGTTAGATCCCAAGATAAAAGGTATCTTGTCAATTCACTTTAACAGTCGGAGTCTTTACAGTAATTTTTTTTTAAATCAAAGAGTATCTTGATCAATTTCAAAATAAGTTTGCTGTGGTGGCTATTTCAGAAACATGGTTGAATGATGACAGAGAACTGCAGGATGGACCAGAGGGTTATGAAATGTTTTGGCAAAATAGGAGGAATAGAAGAGGAGGAGGTGTCGCTATATTTGTTATATTGTGTCTTAAATGTAACGGAATGTTTAACTATCGAAATTCAAGTTGAAAGATCCAAAAACATATTAGTTAGCTGTATTTATCGTTCACCTGCATCGTGCATAGATCAGTTTATGAGAGAAATTTCTGTAATACTGGAAAAACACAAAGAAAAGATGACTTTATTTTGTGGTGAATTTAATATTGATTTATTGAAGGCAAATGATCACAATAAGACTTCTGAATTTACAATGTTTAGTTTTGGGTTTTATCCGTTGATTCTAAAGCCCAGCAGAATACAGATGGGTCGTGCCACTTTGACATTTTCTTTAATAAGATAGATGGTAAAATACACAGTGGACTGTTAGTCACGGATGTAAGTGATGTCTTTTCAGTGCTTGAAATGAATAATCAATTTAATATTCGAGAGGAAAAGATTGATTACGTTGGTAGAATAAAAACACCAGAACACACTGCAGTTTTTAAAAGAGAATTAGAAAATTATGACTGGAAAAACGTTTATGTGGAAGACACTAATGATGCATATAATGCATTTCTAGACATATTTTTGTCAATCTATGACAGCCAGTGTCCACTAAAAAAGTTTTCTGAAAATCTCAAAAAGAAAAAAACAAGGTTGACAAAAGCTCTGGAAAGAGCCTGAAAAAGGAAAAATAAGTTATATAAGATTTTTTTTTGACAGAACTAAGGAAAATGAAGACAAATATAAGAACTATAGAAACAGATTAACAACTATTTCGCGATATGAAAAGAAAAGTTATTATGAAAAGCTGCTTCAAAAATCTAAAAATAATATAAAGGCTACCTGGAGTGTACTTAATAAGATAATAAAAAATCTGAATAATATGTTTTCCAACATGTATTGTAAAAGACGGTAATGTAGTGATTAAGAATACTGAGAGTATAGTCAACAAATGTAATGATTACTTTGTTAATGTAGGTCCCAATTTGGCAAAAGAGATTTCTGTACCAGGAAGACATGATGACAACTTTTAAAATTTTACTTCTTTTAAATGTAACTCAATGTTTCTTGGAGTTTGTGAGAGTGATATTATGATAAATGACCCGCACTTGTATAGCACCTCTCAGAGTAAGGACTCCAAAGCGCTTTACACTACAGTGTATCATTCATCCATTCACACACTGATGGTGATGAGCTACAATGTAGCCACAGCTGCCCTGGGATGCACTGACAGAGGCGAGGCTGCCGAGCACAGGTGCCACCGGTCCCTCCGACCACCACCAGCAGGCAAGGTGGGTTAAGTGTCTTGCCCAAGGACAAAACAGCAAGGTTCTCTGTGCGGAGCTGGGATCAAACCTGCAACCTTCCCATTACTGGACAACCCGCTCAACCTGTTGAGCTACTCACAGTCATTACAGTCATCACAGATTTCCCCTCACTGAAGATTAACAAGATAAGATGCACAGTTGTAAATATGTGTTTAAATACATACTTTTGTTTTATTCTCTTTTGTGGTTTTTGGTTGTTTTATGTTGTTTAATATAGTTTTTTTTTATTCCTTTACTTTGATTTTCCAAATCCGGAAACCCTTAAAGGGGGCTGTGTTCAGTAATGAATTACAACAACTCGTATTGCTGTAATTAAGTATTTTATTCTGCTTCTATGTATGAACACGTCTTTTGAGTGTTTTTCTGTTTTTCAGTAAAGAAATATGTTAATATAAAAATGTAAATTTGAATCAGGAGAAAAAAATCTCACTAGAAGCTCCAGCTGTTTGTTCCATAAAAGGACAGCAGCCTCTCTTTGTAATCACATGGAAGCTCCGCCCACTCAGCAGACCGGAAATACTCAGAAATCCCAACATGAGTCTATCTGACAGGAACACCATCTCAGCCTGAATTCTGATGAAAAAAGGCAAAAGGTGAAGTGAACTTTTGGCCTTAAGGGAGCTCCGTGGCTTCAACATCAACAACTTTATCAAGTTAGCACCAGCAGAGTTAGCCGTGAGCTCTGTTTGCTCAATAGAGTTCAACTCATACAAACTAAACACTTGTTCAGCAGGTGGAGGGGAGTTTAATAAATACATGTTCTTTTTATTTGGACCGTAAAACAGCATTTTAATAATTTTATTGAGAGGTTGTGCAAAAATGAGGAACATTGCTACTGCTGCTTTGCATACCTTTCAGCTGATAGCTTGAAGAAGAAATTTATTTCTCAGATGGCACCATCTGGAGGTCGGAAAGTGTATTGCACCTCAAAGTGAAAAAGTCAAGTCAACTTTATTTATAGCACTTTACAACAAACTGACCAAAGTGCTTAACATGCCAAAACAAAAACAGTCATTTCCTACAAATGCTGAAAACAATTTAAAGGTTCATTATCAAAGAAAATAAAACATAACATAAAAACCATCAACATTAATATATGGACAATGGGTTTCCATAGCCTCCAATAACAAGTTTTTGTGCTAAAATGGGAGGTGGCCACCACCGCCATTTTGACCGTGTCACAGGTTCCGTCAAGCCCAGACAATTCCATAAAAGGGAAGAGAGGAGGAGCTGAGGGTGGGGCTGTAAGGCTGGGATCAACTGACGACACCCGGTCGAACTAGCTACAAGCTAACCTGAAGCTAACCCAAAGCTAATGCGGAGGTGGGAGCTAAGCTAACGGAGGTAGCAACCTAGCTACAACCGGAGTTAACTGTGCACAACACCAGAGCCTCTGAGTCAGAGATACGCCGGGCTGACCGCTGGGTAAAACCGGGTGGAACACAGAGGTCTCCGAGACCTCCACAAGCCGGCAGCCGCACAGCAGACAAGCGCCGCTGCTCAGAGTTGCCGCTGGGGAGAACCGGGTGGAAAGGTTTCCATCCCAGAGCTCCACAAGCCGTCAGCCCGCCGCAGCACACAGAAGCCGCGATCAGACAGCGGGAGAAACAGCCGGCATTCCGGGTGGAAAACATCGGTCTCCCCAGAGCTCCAAAAGCCGATATTGGGAACCCAGCTCCACCAACATGTTATATTTCAACCCATTTCCTAAAGTGCAGCATTATGTTAAATGCACTGGGTTTTACCCTATTACATTTAAATTTCATGGTTAAACAGTACATGTTAAAATCTAAGCTCAGCTCGGCAGTGACCTAAAATACATAAATATAATTTTACTTACCGAAAAAAAGGACAAATTGGATGCTCTATTAGTGCAATTAGTGTCACAACAAGTCATTTTGTCCAACAATTGCACAAATGATATCCAAAAAAGAATACACAAACACAGAGACTCAAAATCCCGGAACAGTTTCCAGGCCAGGCCGAGGCTCTACTGAGGCTTTTCCACGGAGCTAGCTCTGTGGTCACGTGGGTCTGATGCTCATTAATTATACAGAATTTTAGGCTTTTAATACACTTAAACAGAAGAGTGAGAAAAAAATGCACCCCCTCAGAGTTGTCATGAGTGTAAACTAGATCATTTAAACCAAAAACATGTTTTGGTACCAGGCTGTAAACATGTTTATTTCTGCTGTGAAATTGGTATTTTTAACATGGGAGTCAATGAGGATTTGCTCGCTTCTGACACCAGCCCCTAGTGGATGAGAGTGGAACTGCAATTTTTGGTACTTCTAGGTTGGGACCAATTTTAGAGCCGCATTGTGGGGGCTTGATAAAAACAGATCAAAGCAAATAATTCTAACTGACTTAAAAGCCACTAAAATCAGATGCATTCTCACACTGAATTAAAGGCCACTGAGAACAGATGAGTCTTCAGAAGTGATTTAAACCCGACAGTGATGAATCCAGCCTAATCTGAATTGGCAGTGCGTTCCACACCCTTGGGGCTGCTACTGAGAACGCTCCATCACCCCTGAGCTTCCGCTTCGTTCTCGGCACCTCCAGGAGAAGCTGGTCAGCTGACCTCAGTGACCGAGACGGGGAGTGAGCAACTAAAAGCTTACACAGATACTGCGGGGTAAGGCCATGTACAGCTTTAAAAGCCAATAAAACACAAAAGTGTCATTTTTGCCATTAATCTCTGGAAATATCCATGTAAGTCTCTGAGCGAGGCCATATTTCCTTCTACGTGAGTCTGTGAGGACCAAACGCCTTTACTGATTTGTAAAAAGCAATTACTGTAAAATCCTGGCTACCGTTGTGTGTGGTGTCACGATCCCCCGCCCACCAAACACAAATGTAAAAAAATATCTATGTGGTAATGTATCATGATATTTTTCCCAGCGATATTATAAGTATTTATTTATTATATTTTAGGAGGATAAAACCACTTGAGATGAAACATGTCGTTTACGAGTGGGTTCTCCTACCGAAGAGAAGTAAAATACAAGAAGACAGAGGCAGTACACTATAGAACAAAACAAACTCAGTCCAAAAATAATTAACAAAAAACAACTGAGAAGATTAATAAATGGATAACTAAAGAAAACTGGACAAAAATAAATAAATCCTGCTTTGGTACAACAAAAGTCAGACTTCAAAACAATTACAAATCGGTTTCACATACTCATAGGGAGAGTTTTTATAAAAGCGAAAAGAGGAAATAGATCTTATATGAGCAGGTAACTTTTTCCAATATCGATATTCAAAAGCTGTGTATCAACAATATCATATCACAATATATCGTGATTTTTTTCCTGCAATATTATATCAATATTCAAAAACTGTTTTGTGGGTTTTGTGTATTTTCTTTTCTTTTCTTTTGGTGCAATTAAAACGCTGACTGCTAGTTGGCAGCAGTGTGCAATGGGTTTTGTTTCCACCATTGAAATGTAAATCCCTCTATTATGGTTCAGATACCTCATCTAAACATGCTACGCATCAGTTTGAACTGTTTATTGAATTTTTGTACAAATGATTCAGTGAAAAAAATCGCTAATATTGTCTGACTGAATGTATCGCAATATATCGTAATAAATTGAATCGTCTCCCCTGTATCGTGATATGTATCGTATCGCTATAATTTCACCAATGCACATTCCCATTGAACACTGGCAGCTAGGTAGCTATTCACTATATGTTATGGCAGATCACACATATGCTCATGTGGTCGTTACAAAGAAAAGGAAAGAAAGTCAAGCAGCAGTACATCAAGAGCAACGGCACCAGAAAACTACAGTTAACATCAGCATTTCATTCTCAGCAATGGCGTTATAAAGGGGTATGGGGTGGTCTCTGTGCTGCAGCGGACTTCCGTTTTTCTTGGACATAACTTGCTTTTTATTGCGATTGAAGCCGCCGCACTCAAGTTTTTTTAACAAGCCGCTGCCAAAGGCGTCTTTCCTCTACAGTCCCCGTGCAGCCTCTGGTGATCTGACCTCCAGCTCTAACGGAGAGAAGCTCCTGAAGTGCTGCATCAATCTAGTTTATCATCTCAGCTGGTTCTGTTAACAAAAGTGAAACTAACGGCCGCGTTTACTTTAATTTTCAATAGAGTTGCCGGCCAGAGCTCGGCAGTAACTCCCCACATGATCATGACAACTCCCTCTGTTGCGTAAAGGCGTAATATGCATTAACATGTCAGGCGTTGCGGCAAAATTACTATCAAGCGTGGCTGCATGAAAGGTGCAGAATTCCCACTGTGGCATGCTGCCACGGCGCGTTCATAAGACACACCGTTGCGGCAGTATTACGCTGATTTGCCAGCATGGTGTGTCATTTAAAAAGGGCTTTTGTTTTACGATTGTTCTCACTTACTTAACTGGATGGCAGAAAACTGGTTAGACCTATCAGGAACTGCACTGGAGTGGTTTTCCTTTTCTCTATCTGAGCATTCCTTCTCTGTAGCTGGGAGCTTTCTTCAGCTGAATGAAGATAAGACTGAGATCCTCATCTGAGCCCCAGACAAGCTGATTCCCAAAGTCAGAGACTCTCTTGGTCAGCTTGCTTCCCACACCAAACCTTCTGTCAGGAATCTTGGCATGACCTTTGACCCAGCTCTCACCCTGGATTCTCATGTCAATTCTCTTGTTCGCTCTTCCTTCTTCCATCTCAGGAACGTTGCTGAGTCCCATTCTGTCCCGCTCTGAAGTTCATCTCCTCACGCTTAGACTACTGCAACTCTCTTTTCACTTACACCCCCAGCAGGTCCCTGAGGTCCAGTGACCAAAGCCTACTGGTTGTGCAGCACCAGGCTAACGATCAAAGGTGACAGATCATCTGCTGCTGTGGTCCCCAGACTCTGGACCTCTCTCCCCCTGAGCCTGAGATCAGTGGACTCAGTGGTCTCCTTTAAACTCACCTGTTCAGGCTTTGGTGGGACCTCCTTTTATTATTGTTGCAAGCCAATTTGCCGGACTAGCTCCACTCTCAATTAGATGTTTTTAAAATCTCAGGTTTGGCCTGCAATCAGTGTAGTGGGCGTGACATTAATTGCCAGTAAACACCCATCCCTATGTAAAGAGATGATTAGCAATCACCAAATTACCCAGGGCTTCTAATTCTGACCAATATATGTTAAAGTAGACACAAGGAAGACTTTAAATTGCACCAGCACACACACACTTGTTAAACAAAGAAAGCAGCCAGCATGAATTGGTTTAACAATAACTGAGAATGAATCCAGACCTGATTTTGTATAATTAACAAGTCTGAGATCAGTCTCAGTTCATCAATTATCATTTTTCTACTTAATTAAAAATGTTTCTCTCATTTAAGATCTTTTAAAAAAATATTTAAAAATGTTGTTTTTGTGAAGCACCTTGTGATTTTATCTTGAGAGGCACTATATAAATATTGATGTTATGTGGCGTATTCACGTATATATAAATATTGATGTTATGTGGCGTATTCACGTATATATAAATATTGATGTTATGTGGCATATTCACGTATAAATAAATATTGATGTTATGTGGCGTATTCACGTATATATAAATATGATTTAGCAAAAACTAAACTGACAAATTGCCTACATAATGTCAAAGTACAGGGTAGGCTATCACTCTCAGAGATTTCTAAAATATAAGAAATTCCTGAAAGAGGAAAAACTCTGGATTGCTTTAATTAATGATAAATGACCGGCACTTGTTTAGCGTCTTTATGAGTCAGAGGACTCCAAAATGCTATAGTCTGCCAGGTGGATGCAGATCTCTGAGGCTTATAAAGCTCTGACCCATCAGCACCAATTTATCTCAAAGATTATAAACAACAGAAAATGATTTTATGAATAATTTCTGACTTCCTTTTTTCTTGTCAGTGATAATGTCACATATATATCAGTCAGAACACTGATGTACACTGTATGTGATGTATGTACACTGTTCAGTTCTATAAAGTATTTTGTACAGTTTACAATAAATGTTCATTAAAAAGTATAATCCTGCATTTCTATCATCCAAAAACGAACCTTTTAATGTTTTGCTCTGTCCATCTATTTATACTATGATTTATATTGTAGGGTTTGAGAAATGTAGTGCTTTAAGAGCTCAATATATATTACCTCTACTTATGACCAATAAGCTGTGATACTCTATCTAAATATAGAACATCAACCTGTTTGGTCTTTACGGTGTTTAATCAGAAGATTCTAAGATTCTTTGTTTTATTCAGGGATTGTAAACACTTTGTTTTGATTCAGGAAAGAGTCAGGTTTATAAAAGTAAGAAATTTTTTTTAAAACAATTAAAACGTGACAAGTTAACAAACATTTACTGTGAGTGGATGGATCCAGATGGAGCAGGTGTAGTGTATGGTGCCTATGTGTGAATGTGATGTTATCAGAACTTCCGTATCTAGGAAAGCTGAGTTCTGGGTGTAGAATAATTTGGTTTGCGTTAAGCTACGAAGTCGATTATTATCAAAAGGCATAAGACGCTATCTGTGTGTCTACTTCACCCGTTCTGGGAGACCCTCTCGTGGATCCGACGGTCAGAGAGGTTGGAAGACCTCTGACACCCAGGTCCAGTAGATTGACCACAGCGCCGACTTCTCCAGTCCAGAGTCTCGGGTCACGACAGATGTATGGAACCGCGCGTCTGGGACTCTTTAAGGAGTCGGAACAATATCAGCTTGTTCTGCAGGAACCGTTTGCTGTATCAGCTTCGCAGGTCCAAAAAAGTTTTGACGACGTGTCAAAAGCTTTGATGGGTTAGAGAGGTCTTGCTTCAGATGGCTGGTCTGAAGCTTTCTCAAGAACTGCTGAATCACCAGAGTGATCCAGTTTTAATGTTCTTATGTTATGATTTGTGTAGCCAACCAGAGGTTGACAAGTTGAGGAATATTACCGAGGCAACCTCAGAAACACGCCTTCTTTGATACTGGATGCTCTGATCTGGGGTAAAGGACTATCTGTGTGTCACGTGTTTGACTTAATTTTACTTTGTCCTTGTGTGAGTGCAGATGGTGATGACCTTGTCATATAAACATGCTGACACATATATCAATCAATGTAATCATAACATTCATTTCAAACTTCAATCACTCAAGCACAGACTAATGAAAGCATTTCATTATATTATGATTATTATAAGTAGCAATAAACAAATGTTTATTTAATGATTATTTAACTTTTAAGTTTTAGAAGTTCATATTTAATTTAAGAAATCATTCTTTGATTTAGCAACTAATCCAAGCTGCGAATGTTCCTTATTCAGAGGCATGAAGAATCCTGTAGGATGATAAGGGAAGCTTGGACCTTGAGGAGAGAACATGATTGTTGACAATACGTTATCATGTGTTCAGAGCTGCAGAGAGGCTCTGAGCTCCAGCTGATGGGTTAAAGGCAGGCCGATTTAAAGGGAACACATGCAGTCTCCTGTCTCCATTTTGACCAGATGTTGAACGGTCAAACTGTACCTAAAAACTGACCATTGCAATATAAATGAGGGCACTTTTCTCCTGGCACTGCTCTTTCTGATCCCTGTCTGAATCAGTGATCCATCCCATTCTGGCAGGTGGGAGCAGAACTTTCCAAAATGTCCTGCAGTGATGGTGGGCTGAGTTGAAAAGATGGCCAGAAGATGTCTGATTCAGGTAAGTCGAGTAAGTCTTGAAAAAATTCGTCCATTCTTTGATTGGGGTCATTCTGAACAAAGAAATAAAGATTCAGTTTAAATCTTAAGCAAATTAAATATAAAAAAACAATCCAACTAAAAATGATCAGATTTAACACTGATAACGAAACCATAAAAAAACCACCTCTGAAACATTCGAGTATTTTCTAGGTAATTACTCATGTCCACAAATGAAGTTTGGTTGGATAACCAAATAAAAACAACGACAAATTAGCTGAAACTCACACTCTGATCTACGTTGGTGTCGACATCCATCCTGGGGGCCTCCATGGGAGGAGATGGAGGTGGAGTGGGGTGGCTGTTTAAAAATGAATAAAAAAAAATACTATTTACAGTTTTTAAAGTCATTATCAGATAGGAATTTATAATTATGATTTTGAAAGTTAGTACTATGACTTTGTCTCAATCCTTTGAAACCATAACTGAAACGTTTAGAACGGCTAACCTCACAAATATGATTTTTTAAAATCTCAACTTAGAATCCGTAAAAAGAAAATGTATTTTCTTGATTATTAAACAACTAATTTCTCACTCATAATGACCTTTAAGACAGTAATGAAATAAATTTTATCACTATGACTTAAACTTCTAAACATGTCTCTTAATGACCCTCCTGCAGATCCATTTGACTTTTTTATTCTTAGTGACACAAATGGGCTTCTGTACAACGCGGACAAACGCTACAGATAACTGACTTACTTCGATACCACAGTCAGCCTTCTGTGCAGGTATTCTCTACAGTTCTGGTTAGTTGCAGAAGGGCCTGTAGAAGAAAGTTGTGGATTATTAGTCCTTGAACAGAAAATAACACTGAATGCCACTTTATTACGTTGAACACTGCTAGAAGCTTGCCAGTTGAAGAAGGACATATTTTTGACTTTAGAAGTAGGGCGGACACAACCGGCATGAAGACCGGGGCGAGGGGGATCTTTGCAGTAGGTATACAAAAAAATATGTAATATGCAGTTGTTTTCTGCTTTGTCCTAGTGCTCAACCAGTGTCTATTTAACTATTTCGCTGCCAGCCATTTCCTGATCGCTAAAGCCCTTCGCTGCCAGAGTTTCTCACAGTTTTTACTGTTTTTTTAAGAGTGACAGAACGTTGTGCGCTAGGATGATGTAGACACCAAAACAACCAAAACAAAGCAGAGACTCACCTCTTACATCAGAAAGCATCCACGTGTTTCGAGCGTTATCCGTTCTTTCATAATCTGTGGTCGAATCGTGATCGGCAGACGCTTTTCCGGTTCGCGCCTCACTTTTTTTTTTTTTTTTTTTTTTACAGGAAAGGCCCAAAACAATCTCCTAACACATGGATTTTCTGCTTCCTGATCATGTGACATGTGACGTATGCGGATGAAGATCGGCTTCAGAGTTGAGATGTTTGTTCTCATGGCGCGGGGGCTTTTCCGACTCCCACACAGTAAAAAAATGCCAATGACGACTTTAGTGAACGGTTGGATTTAAAATGATGACTAGTTGTCAATAGGGTTGTCACGGTAACCGGTGTAGCGGTAAACCCCGGTAAAAACGTTGACAATAATAATAACCGTCTTGTTTTTAAAAAAAAAAACGATATTATCTCGGTGGATTACCGAGGCTGTGGTGTAGGCGCGGTGACCCTTACCAGCCACCGTATCATCTGCTGAAGTTGCCGGCGGCACCTGCGCGCTTTGTTGTTTACAACCAAAACTTTCTTGAAGCTAAAGCTGAAATAATGGCCAGAGGAGGAGACGGCAGCACTCAGGACATTTATTATCCCTCAAAGAAGACAAAGTGGGAAGTACGGGCATCTTTTGGATATTTGAAGAATGCCGAGGGACAGTTGATAGAAGACGGCTATCCTGTTTGCAGCACTTGCAGAAAAAGTGTCTGTGAAAGGCAGCAACACTTCAAATCTCATGACACATCTGCGTGACCATCACCCACAACTCTACAGTCAACGCAAGGCAAGCTAACGTTAGCTTTGGGTTTGGGTTGAGGGAGAATGCAACGAGTCGCTATATAAAGCAGCCGCAGCGCCGCTACCTGCATATAAACCGTGTCGCGGACACCCCCATGTTGAAATGACGCTATGCATTGCGGGGCTCCCAGGGGCAGATAAGAGTTGGTCTCTCTCCGAGAATAATTATGAATTTAACAATGATTACTGCCTGATGACATTTTCCCACATCTGAAAAGCTCACTGGAAGGACACAAACCGAGGACAATAATTTCCTGATATAGGGTTTATTACTCAAGTAAGGGTAAAAAAAGTATCTGATTAGAAGGCTACTTGAGTACTGAGTATCATCTGATCTAATATTTTTAAAATGATGACATCAAACAGACATAAAATAAGAAGTTATGGGCAAATATTGGTATTTTAAAGACTAAAGGGGAAACATGTAAACAAATAAACAACATAATTACAAAATAACACATTTTAGACAAAATTTAGACACAAACTGAGGACAATATTTCCTGAAATACAGGGTTTCTTTAATTGTGTGAAAATGTAGCACGTTTAAAAAAAATACCGCGATAATACCGAAAACCGTGGTAATTTTGGTCACAATAACCGTGAGGTTACATTTTCACACTGTGACAACCCTAGTTGTCAGTGGCAGTGAATGAGTTAAGATAGCGTAATATTGACATTGGGACAAAAATTTACTTTGGAAAAAGTGGGGGGGACATGTCCCCCCCCCCCCCCCCCCCCCCCAAAAGCTACATCCATACTGGACAGAGGTCAAACCACTAATTTACTAATTTCTCAAGAAATGCAAACCAGTTTGAATTAATTACTATTTTAAATAACATAATTCAGCTGCTTCTTGGTACCCCAGCTCAGAAATAAGAAGTTAACTAAACTGTACCTGGGACTTTGTAGTAGCGTCCGAAAGCCGTGTCTTTGGGGATGTCGGGGTAAAGATACATCAGAGGGTTATAGGAGCTATAACCTTGGGCAGTCAGAGTGTAGTGATTGATAGCGTCAGGTAGAGACAAAACCGACAACTCTTTCTTGGTGTAGGGCTGAACCGCATGCACATGGGCCTCTACAGAAGAACAAACAGACAAGAATGAATTTGATTGCTTTCGGTTGAGTTTAAAATGATCAGAAACAAACCTCCACTGGAGTGATCGACCCAGCTGAAGGTGACGGCTCCGTCTCTGATGCTCTCACTAAAGCGGATCAGAAAGGTCCCGGTCGCTTTAGTCTGCAACAAGAATTTCGTTCTCTCCCGGCCCACGAAGCCCATGATGGATCTGAAATCCACATCCAGAACATGAACCATAAAAAGCAACTTAATAGTGGTGATCAGAGAGCACTTACCCGTCCTGCCAGAGATCAGACAGGTACTTATTTATCAGATCCAGGATCCCGTCGACCCAAATCCAGGTACTTTCATCCTAGTGCACAAGAAGGAGGGAGACTGAAGTCTGTGAAAGGTTTCAATTAATTTGTGTGAATCAATGACAAATGTAAAAATAAAATATCTACTAAAAAATCAGATTTCAAAACCAGAATCTCTGGGGTCATGTCTGCTTTTAGATGTGATTAAACAAATCTTAAAAACTAGAGGATAAAACTGAGTTGTACAGTATATCTTTAATTTATATAATATTGGATTTTGCTGGAACCTTTTCATCTTTAGAACAAAAACTCTCAAATATTCATAAGTGACAGCAACGTGCACAAAGATTTTGCTGTTTATGTGTAAATTCAAAAGTGACTTTCAGAAATGCAGAAGCCTAAAATAAATGCGCCTCCACGTGTATCTGCTTTTCACCAGGCTTTAATGAACTGAAATCAAATAAGAAAGAAAAAAAAGATTTCACCTTAGTGAACTTGCTCCAGGTTACAAGACCTTCGGGATCATCTGTGACCCAAAAACATGGTTAGTTTGGATCGGACGTGCATAGCACCACTGGGTTTTAACCACACAGATGTGGTGGTGGTATCAATCTCACCAACAAATTTGTCTCTGAGCTCTGAGAGCTGGTGCTCATCGAGGTTCCGCTGACCAACGGACAGGAACTGCCAGCTGAGGATCTGAGACAGCTGCTGCCAGGCCACCGGAGGAGGAGCAGCAAACAGTGACAGGTCCTGCAGGACAAAGTCACACTACTGCTATTGTCCCAGCAGATGATGACGACTGTTGTTCAGCTGTGAAGAGGTGGACTGGATTTACCATTGAAGCACTGGTGCACAGCATGTTCCACCACATGATGGAGGCCCAGGCACTGGGAACCTGGTTGGAACTGGAGATGACAACCACAGGCAGAGAGCTCGCCTGCACCAAGGGACACCAGCAGAGAAGCTCTCAGGCTACATGTCTTCATGTCCTAAACTACACTCCGTAGCAGCGGCCCTCACCTCGATGTTAAACGTCTGTCCAGCGTGTGTCAGCGTCGTCACGAATCGAATGACATGAAGTTCTTCGGTAACTCCAAGATGACTCTGATAGACAAAAATAAATAACTATGGCAGAAACATCCTGATGGGGACTTTAATGCAGATTTCTGTGTAAATTATCAATAAATCCCTTTCTTTGAACAACCTCTGCTGAGAGAAATGTTTATTACATTTTATTTTATAAATCATGATTTTGGCATCAGTCAGACATCTACATGAAACTTTTAGATTATTTGGTAACTTAAACCTCACCAGCAGCAGTAGGACGTAGCACTTTTGGTGCCTCTGGTGGTCAGTTTATTTATATTTCTGACTAAATAAAAGCATAGTAAGAGTATTGGCTTTTCAGGAACGTCTGTGTGAGATAGGAATTATTTATAACCTTTTTGTGCAGAAACATGCAGAAAATTTCTAACGAGGAGCAGATCACAGTCACTGGTCCTGATGAGCTGAGTCTGTTTTAAATGTTTTAAGTTAATTTTCTCTTACCTCGCTCAAACCTTTTTTTCTTGCTTTCTTTTCCTTAATTGACTGAAGAAAAACAAATTATTGCAACTAATAAAATCTCTGATACAAAAACCTTTTTAATTTCAGGCTTTTATCTGTTTCGGAGTTTCGCACCATGTGTTCGAACTGTGCCATCAGCCCTCCATCTGGTGTGTCCACATCTAACACCTTGCTGTTATCACTGGTGAAGTCAAAGAGACGAAACCTATAAACAAAAATTATTCACAATTAGGTTTTATTTCTTTAAATGCAAAAACACTTTCACATTAAATCAGGGCACATCCTTACCCACTGACGGTTTTGGCTTCTTCAACATCCCTGGTTTAGAAAGAATAAGGATAATTTTTGTTCAAACAAAATCTGAAAATGCTCAACTTTGATGAGCATTTTGTTTTTTCGGTAAATAATAGTGTGTCAGTAATTAACTCACTTGTCAAATACAGGTTTGACTTTGAGCAGACCATTAAAAACAGGAAGGTTTGCCAGGAACCTGAGTGATGACAAGCAGAAGCAAAACAGCCTGCTGCTTCAAGCCAGTTTCTGGATAAATAAATACCAAATATATTTGACATCAGCTGCAAATATAAGTACTCCATCAGCTGCCTTTTCTGGACAATGAACACATTAAACTGCAGCTTTGCATAAATACTGTTTCAGCTGAGTTTAAATTTACTTTCGTTACCTGACTGTCACCTTGAAGCGCACCATAGTTTTCAGGATGAGAGGCCGATGTGGTAAATTCAGCATGATGGGTTGTTTCTCGACCACTAGAGAACTACAAACAACAAACGCATCCAACTTTATTGCTGTTTTGCTAAATATGAAGAAAGAGCCTTGATAACTTACTTTGTAAGTAGTTTTGTGATCAAGGACAGAACGAATTTGTTCAGTTCTGCAACAGAAGCAGAGAGTTTGGAGGGTTCCGAGCTGCTGTATTTGTTGTTCTGGTCTTGCAGGTTCTGCAGCTGCTCGCGGACTCCAAATAGAACCTCAGCAATGGCTGTAAACCTGCGATCAGGACATCAACACAGGATCATAAAAAGACCTCACAGACAGGTCAACTCAGATCCGGGGCCCTCGTTTATAAAACTTTGCGTAGAATCCTTACTAAAATCTACTTATGCTCAGCAAAAAAAAAAAGTGCTTACGCAAACTCCTTTTCCAACCTTATGCAGTTCTGCATCCAGTTTCTGGACTCTTCCTGGAAATGTGCTCAGGTGTTTTTGGATCACATCCCACCTCCTACACGCCTACCCTCTGCCATAAATGGTCAGTGCAAAGCACTTTATGAATACTCTGCATAGTAATTTCACAGGTTACCATGGCAACCTACACTCAATCAAGATGCTTGATATCTGGTGTCCAAGCCTGTAAGCAAATTCCTGCTGGAACAAGCTGGTTGCAGAAAACTCGATAAGGGCACCATGTACTCAGTTTGCAGCGGTGAAGTTTTGGTTCATAGTTTGATTAACAACAGATGTGCTGTCACTCGTCACAAGTGCAGCTTAAATTCACCATTTCAACATCTGCACTGCCAGTTTCCCCACCTCTAAAATGTGCTTATACCAGGTCCAAAGTTTGCTTAAAGTTGTGCATTTTCTTCCCTCACGTTTTTTTGCATTAAATTACAACGTTTGGGTGGAGAATGACTTATGTAATTTTCAGACCCCAGTTTGTGTGTAAGCAAGCTTTGTGAATGAGACCCTAGAGCTTTACCACTTCTGGAGGAGCCCCAGACTGGTGTCCATTGGACCTCCAATACAAGACAGCTGTTGTCGGTACTTCCACTCAGGCAGCTCCACGTCAGTGAGAGTCGCCACTGTTTGGGCTGTCTGGTTTAAAAGATTCACCAAACGCTGCACCACAATCTGTGAAACCCAAAGAAGAGTGCATTAAGCATAAAATCTAGACTACTTTCTGATCTTCTTTAAACAAGAATGACTAGGGGTCTCATGTATCAAACATGGCGTAGAATCCTTATTAAATCCATACTGAAGCTCAGCAAAAAAAAAAGTTCTTACGCCAAGTAGGTTTGTGATCTATCAAACATGGAGGACGCACAGAAGAAAAGAAGAAAATATCATTTCTATAGCGCCTCTCAAGATAAAAATCACGAGGCGCTTAAAGCTGCACACAATCTCTGCTTCATAAATCAGAGACTATCTAGAATGTTTCTCAGCTGCATTTTAGTCACATCCCGCCCTCGCCACGCCCACTTACTGCCATAAATGGTCAATGCCAAGTACCTTGCGGATCTCATGCATATACATAAGCCGGCTGTTGGAGCGCTACGCCAATGACATGGCGACCATAGATCAAGGCAGATAAAGGAAGCGCTATTTCACAGAAGCAGAAGTTGAGGTACCTGTGGGTGAGGTGGAGAAATGAAAGGAAGTGCTTTTGCAAAACAAATAAGAGAAAATCCACGGAGTGGCACAGCGTTGCTGAAGCCGTCAATGCTGAGTTCTTCAGAGAGATCTGTGGCAGATATAAAAACAATGGCCCAATCGGGATTCAATCCCCAGACTCCCGGGTGAAAGGCACGCGCGCTAACCAGTCAGCCAAACAGAGATCTTCCTTGTCCAAGTAGCCAGGGTGCATGATCAATCGGGTCACAGTGACAGGACACACACACACACACACTGTCACAGACGCATGACATTCTGTCTCAATCAGTCCCCCTGCTGATATTCTGCATTCCGTATTCTGTGCTTCAGACTGTGTGTGTGTGTGTGTGCGTGTGCATGTGCGCATGCGTGTGCGGGGGGGGGGGGGGGGGGGGTTGTTCTGTGTGCACACAAAGCGGTACCAGTGATAATGCTGCTGGAATTCATAACTATCTTCTCAGCAGCAGAACTGCAGGTGCTCTCCATGTCCAAATGTGTGTAAGCCAGGTCCTTAGTCAACTTAAAGTTGTGCACATTTTTCCGCTAAGTTTTCTCAAAGTTCGCGTGGAAAGTTGCTTACGCAGTTTTCCGACACCGTTTTGTGCGTCAGCAAGCTTGATAAATGAGGCCCCAGGTTGCTCAGTGAAAACAACAAATCGTGTAATGTGGAGTTCCACTTGGCTCTACTCTTGGATCCCTTGCATTGAACTTTTGAATGCTGAACAAAAAGAACCAAATTATTCCAGTTTTACAACACAAATGTTGCCCCTTCTCAAGTCACCTTTACGGGATTTCATAAGGAGTCTGGATTTTACAGAACTAAACAAATTTATTCTGATGCGACTGAAGCTAAGAAAAAACATAAACTTCTGTGTTCAGATTAATTATTTTAATTTTAAAATATTGAGCAGAAACCAAACCAAATTTTGGGAATCATTGTGGACTCCGACCAGAATTTAAATCTGTTAAATGGTTCAGGAAAACAAGTATTCAAATCTGCTGCTGATGGAGAACTCAGGTCCTGCAACTTTCTAATTGAATCAGCAGCGCCTTGGGCTTCCTGACAGGGTTGCAGAAGGCACTTTATAAATAAAGCTTTGATTGATTGATTGATTGAATCTTTAAAATGGTTAAAATAAAAAAGTTTGCTTTAAAAATTTGTCTTTACTTGACTTCATTTAAAAAGATTTTCATTCTGCCTAGGACAACCTGCCTTGTACGTGTGATTATGTTAGCCCGCTTGAGACATTCCCCTTCCACCATTTGGACTTTGGATTCAGCCACTTGGATGTTCTGCTCCACTGGTAATAGAAAACCAAAAAGATTCCTGTTAAACACAGAGACTGTGATGCCGCAGCCATGCTGCCTGCTTTTCGTGTTTCCTGTCACACCTTTGCTTTGCCATGTTTGCTGGAAGAAGTCGAGCTTTTCATTCAGACCATCCAGCGTTTTGATCTCCTTCTTCAGTTCCTGCATCACAGTTCACAGGATAGGAAGCAATCAGCTCTTAAGTCCTCTGAACAGGGGAAAAGATGCTGCTTGTGAGAGTTTACCGAAATCTGCCACTTCAGTCCAGTGACTTTGTTGTTCACCTCTCTCCATTTTAGCGGCATGCCCAAATTATTCTGACAAAAAGATTTATTTCACGTTTTAAAGAGTCAGGTACATTTGTGTCTCCTTACAAAAGAAGAACTTTAATGACTCACCTGAGCTGTAGTGACTGAAGAGAGGATTTTCTTCTCCTCATTTAAGCAGTCTGACATAATTAAAGCCAAGTTCACCGGCTGACCCTGAAAGTGTTCCTAACAACAGAAAGCTACTCTAAAGTCTGGCAAAGCAAAGTAGAAAAAATTTAGAATTTGAATTACACCATATTTTCTCCTACCATCAAGTAGTCCATCATCCTTCTAAAATCTGGTCCCTCCAGGATGTTGTTCTCCTGGACAGAACGGTTCCAGAGTTCCTCCAAATAATCCAGCAAAGCCTGGAAACAGGTTCTTGCTGCAGTTTCACTCTCAGCTGCTGAAAGCCTGACCCAGAAGCGCAAACAGTTAAACTCTGGATGAACCTCACACGAACAGATAAAACTTGAAAACAAACTAAGGAGGAGTTTATTTTACCACTTTTAAAATTAATTAGGGCTCCACTTAATAATTGTAGCCTCCGGAAATGGTCTGTTTTTCAGTCTACAGGTCACCTCTTCAGTATGGGTCATTTGGAGACGCAAGTCTCCAACTGGAGCTCTAATCTACAGAAGAGGCTGTTGCTTCAGTCCTTCCAGGCTCACTCTTATCTAAGACTGGTTTTTATTCACAGCACAAGACAGAAGAACCTTTAAAACTTATAAGTTAAATAATCATTAAATAAACGTTTGTTTATTGTCACTTATAATAATTATAATATAAATGAAATAGTTTGATTAATCTGTGAAATGAAGCATTACATTGATTTATATATGGATCAGTAATGTTTGATATGACAAGGCCATCACCATCTACACTCACACAAGGTTCATCAAGGACAAATTAAAGTTGAGTCAAATGCGTGACACATCGATATTTTCTTACCCACAAATCAGAACCTCTGCATCTCGAAGAAGGTGTGTGTTTCTGAGATTCTTGGTAATTTCCCTTAACAAGGCACGCTCTGATTTGTTAAGAAATTAATATGAGAATATAAAAACAGAATCACTCTGGTGATTCAGCAGCCTGAGTCAGTGTTCCAGTTCTACAGAGTTCTAGAGGAAGCTACGGAAACGGCCGTCCGTAGTGACGTCTCTTTAACCAGAGCAGCCTTTGACACGCCGTCGAGGTTGCTGCAAAGCTGACACAGCAAACGGTTCCTGCAGGACAAAGCTGATTTTGCTCCGACTGCTTAAGAGTCTAGACGCAAACGGTTCCATCCAACCTATGTGCCTGGCGACATCTCTGGACTGGAGAAGTCGGCGCTGTGGTCAATCTACTGGACCTGGGTGCCCAAAGGTCATCCGACCTCGACGACCTCCAGGTCTGTGAAGAGGGTCTCCAAGAAGGGTGAGGTAACACACAGTGTGATGGCCTCTGGCCTTAAGAATCAACTTCATAGCTTAACGCAAACCAAATTCTCTTACACTCAGAACTCCGCTCTCCTAGATACGGAGGTTCTGATAACCTCATATTCACACCTAGGCACCATACACCACATCTCCTTCATCTATATTCATCCATCACAGTAAATATTAGTTAACTTGTCATGTTTTAATTGTTTGGAAAATAAATTCTTACTTTTATAAACCCGACTCTTTCCTTGAATAAAAACGAAGTGTTTACAATCCCTGAATAAACAAAGAATCCTAGAATTTTCTGATTAAACATCCAAAGACCACGCAGGTTGATATTCTGTATTTATATAGAGTATCACAGCTTATTGGTCATAAGTAAAGGTAATAGATTAAGCTCTTAAAGCACTACATTTACCAACTCCTACATAATTAATGTACAACTGAAGGGAATTATTATTTTTATAAATAATACATTATTATTATCATTATTCCTTTTTAACTTATGGTGAAAGGTGAACAATTGACACGTAAAACTTTAGTTTTAGTTAAAGGACACCAGGTAATTTTTTTAAAGTTTTTTGATTAAGAATTTTTTTTAAAAGATCTCAGCATTTGACCCATGCTTTATATTCTATATTTCAGGAAATGTTCAGGTATATCAGCGTCTGCATGCCTGCAGAGGGAAGGTCATGCTGCTGTAAAACAGTTTCATGAGGCAAAAACTACATGACTGAAAATGTCTTTTAATCACTCAGAGGTTATAAACAGGAAATAACCAGATATTTCACCTTCAGCCCATTCTTACCAGTCCTGGCTCTCAATCCAGCTGCAAGCAAAGTGTCGGATCTCTCTGGGGAACCTTCCCTCATACAGCTGCTGGACCCGGCTCTGGAGCGCAGAGTCCAGCTTCAGCAGGTCCTGCCACTGCGCCATCTGCTAAGATGCAGCAACAAAACCGCCCACTCACACCTGTGATGTCACAATTCAACCTGTTTCTGGCTCGTGGGAGGAAATGGAAGTTCCTTTAGCCTCATAATAACAACAACAACAACAACAAGATATTATTATAATAATTATTAGGCTAAAGGTATTAATTCCTCAATATCTAAGTGTGAGGGGACAGACAGATCCGGTCTGGTCCCATCTCAGCAAAGAGTCAGGTGGCTCACATTGGACGGATAACAGGGCGGGCGAGCCATCCAATAAAAGGCAGCTGCCTGCTCCTCCAGCAGGACAGCTCTTGTGTGGCACCTAAAGGTGCTAGTGTGCGTTGAGACTCCAACTGCAAGCTGCGATTGTAAGTATTCTCCCTCCTGTTGTTGCCTGTGCGGCATCAGTTAATGTTCATTGCTCCATCTTAATTTGTTTTGTATCGTGTGATCAGAGTGGAGCTGCGTATGCTGTTAGTGTCAAACTGCACCCAGGAACTCATAGTCAGCTCTCTGCCCGTGTGGGTGTGTCAGCTGTATTAAGGCTGACCTGATTCAGCGGCGCTATGACCGTGTCTTTGCCTCGGACTGGGGAGGGTTGTGCTGATCCAGGGGGACCATGCCAGTTTGTTTGTCTGCAGTGTGGCTGCCCGTGCTGCTTGGCCCGAGAGCCGCTCTTTCATCCGGCTTTGCCCGCAGCGGTACCACATAGATCAGTGGAGCGTCTGACGTCGGCGGCGGTGCACCGGCCATCCTGCTGCTCCATCTCGCCGTCCCGCCGCGACCAATCCCATCTCCACAGCTGGTTGTGTGCCCAGAGGGCTGCCCTATATGGCAAGCCGGTCGGATTGTTTTAATTAGATGTTGGGCGTCGGATGCCTGGTTGCCAGGGCAACCACCAGAACGCCCACAGGGTGAAAAGGAATTATCCTGATTTTGTTTGCTAGGTTTTTTGTATGTTATTATTCTTTGGTGTGTTTTGTGTTTACTTTTTATGCATGTTTAACTTTATTTAGTATTTGTTTGCCCTAGACCAATGTGGGTAATTCTTGTGGATTGACTGGTGATAACTGGACTCCGAGCACTTAACTTCATCTGTATGTTTTTAGCTTAGATATTTAAATAAAGATTTGTTTGACTGAAAAGACAATTTGTTCCCATAGTGATCATTGAACTTACGGGCCTTCTACCCTTCTCTAGGGGGGTTAACCCAGGTTGTCGTTGTTGCAACTTTTTATCCTTAAAGGGACTTTTTGGACTTTTGAGTTTTTATTCTCGCGATTGCCCCCTCAGGCCAAAAGCGTAACAGTAGCTTCAATAGTAGGCTCGTGCACGAGGCGCGCATGCTGTACGTGCACACTCCTGCCTCTGTCAGTGAGCCCCAGGGCAGCTGTGGCTACATTGTAGCTCATCACCATCAGTGTGTGAATGTGTGTGTGAATGGATGAATGATACACTGTAGTGTAAAGCGCGTTGAAGTCCGTACTCTGAGAGGCGCTATACAAGTGCGGATCATTTATCATCTAACGAAAATAACAGCTGAGACAGTCCTGTGTGTGTGTGTGTGTGTGTGTGTGTGTGTGTGTGTGTGTGTGTGTGTGTGTGTGTGTGTGTGTGTGTGTGTGTGTGTGTGTGTGCGTGTGTGTGTGTGTGTGTGTGTGTGTGTGTGGCCTGGAGGACGGAAGAACACAGCAAATTAATAAAAATAATGTGCCTTTGTCTCTGCAGCTGCACTTTCTCATCGGCCGGCAGCAATGACATTCAATGTATCTGTAACATTTATATCCTTGATGACAGCTGAACCAACGTCAATCCAAAGAACAGTTTGGTGCGAAAATGGCTGTTTTGTTGCTAATTTGCAGGAAATATCTAGAAAGTTCTACATTAAGTAGCTAAGGGTCCTCAGAAATGTAGCTAGGTTTGTCACTAGGCGTTAGGAACAGCGTCAAAGTGGCACTGCCTCTCTCTCTGCTGCTAACGCTATGCCTGAGCGTGAACGCGCTTTATCTGTGGTTTTACCAATCCCCCACAATGCGGCTCCAAAATTGAGGCCAACCCGGAAGTACCATAAATTGCAGTTCCACCCTCATCCACTAGGGGCTGGTGTCAGAAGCGAGCAAATCCTCATTGACTCCCATGTTAAAAATACCAATTTCACAGCAGAAATAAACATGTTTACAGCCTGGTACCAGAACATGTTTTTGGTTTAAATGATCTAGTTTACACTCATGACAACTCTGAGGGGGGTGAATTTTTTTCTCACTCTTCTGTTTAAGTGAATTAAAAGCCTAAAATTCTGTATAATTAATGAGCATCAGACCCACGTGACCACAGAGCTAGCTCCTGGGAAGGCCTCAGTAGAGCCTCGGTCTGGCCTGGAAACTGTTCCAGGATTTTGACTCTCTGTGTTTGTGTATTCTGTTTTGGATATTTTTTGTGCAATTGTTGGACAAAATGACTTGCTGTGGCATTAATTGCACCAATGGACCGTCCAAGGAGTCTCCACTTCATTTTTTTCGGTAAGTAAAATTATATTTATGTATTTTAGGTCACTGCCGAGCTGAGCTTAGATTTTAACATGTACTGTTTAACCATGAAATTTAAATGTAACAGGGTAAAACCCAGTGCATTTAACATAATGCTGCACTTTAGAAAATGGGTTGAAATAAAACATGTTGGTGGAGCTGGGTTCCCACTATCGGCTTGTGGAGCTCTGGGGAGACCGATGTTTTCCACCCGTTCTCCCCTCCCCGCAGCTCGGCGCATCTCTGTCTGATCGCGGCTTCTGTCTGCTGCATGGGCTGCCGGCTTGTGGAGCTCTGGGATGGAAACCTTACCACCTGGTTCTCCCCAGCGGCAGCTCTGCGCATCTCAGATCGCAGCGGCTCTTGTCTGCTGTGCAACTGCCGGCTTGTGGAGCTCTCGGAGACCTTTGTGTTCCACCCGGTTTTACCCAGAGGTCAGCCCGGCGTATCTCTGACTCAGAAGCTCTGGTGTTGTGCACAGTTAACTCCGGTTGTAGCTAGGTTGCTACCTCCGTTAGCTTAGCTCCCACCTCCGCGTTAGCTTTGGGTTAGCTTCAGGTTAGCTTGTAGCTAGTTCGACCGGGTGTCGTCAGTTGATCCCAGCCTTACAGCCCCACCCTCAGCTCCACCTCTCATCCCTTTTGTGGTATTGTCTGAGCTTGACGGAACCTGTGATACGGTCAAAATGGCGGTGGTGGCCACCTCCCATTTAGCCTCAAAAAGGTGTTATTGGAGGCTTTGGAAACCCACTGTCCAATATTTATATGTCAATGGATTTTACAGAAAAACAGGCAATCACAGTAAAAATGCCAGGGCTCATTCTACGGGACCAGGGCATTGCATGAGAATGTATGAAGAAGAAATTTATTATTTCTATACATGTTTTGACTGTCAAACTAGTCCCTTTAATTTATCTATGTTACGACTAACACTTGCCACATAAGGAATCGCACGCATGCACAAATCCATCTCGGTGTCGAACCCACAACCTCCATGACAACCGTTCTACCAACCAGCCCCCAAACAAACATTCTGTCAACAGTTGGCTAGTTCGGCACAATCCTCAAGATTATTCCCCAAAACCTGCCAAAACCGCGGAAACGTTTCTAGAAGTTTTGCACACACAAAACAAATAACAAAAACTTATGAAGAGCATAATGATCTGTTTGCCTTTCATCTAATGGTAGGAATGTTATAAAGTCTTACCTCGTGGCTGATTTTGTTAAAATGCAAAAAGAACAATCCGAGCAGGAACCTGAAAAACCTGTGAGATGAACAGGAGCGAGGAAAGGCGGAGCGGGTTTTTATTCCTTGGGCACTCCCTTCTAAACCTTGTGATTCACGAGAAATCGTTTTTGAAACTGTCAAGTTAAGGATTTACCACGCGCCTCACTTCCGTCTTTAAAATAAAGGTGAAAATACACTCAAAAGGTTTAGTCACTTAAAACAAACTAAAAGCGTCACGATTCCTGCAAAATGTGTCTCAAATTAGGCGGTAGTATTCAGAATGAACGTGTTTAAAATGTAAAATAGCATAAAAATGAAGGACATTCCGTTTCCTTTTTTCTGCAGTACTAACGTGGAGGCTGTGATTGTTTCCTGAGTAGGTCTGAACTTACATTAGCCTACCTGCTGCATGGATCATTTATGCACATGTATTTACTAGAAGAGATTTCTCTGTTCCTAAATGTTGTTTGACTGGAGTACGGAATATCTGCCTGCTTAAAGATCTCCACCATAGTCCCTGTCCCCAAGAAGCCATGGATCACTGGACTCGATGACTACAGACCTGTGGCTCTGACATCTGTGGTCATGAAGTCATTTGAGCACCTGGTTCTCCCCCACCTCAAGAACCTCACAGCCCCCCTCCTGGACCCCCTCTAGTTTGCCTACAGAGCCAACAGGTCTGTAGATGATGTCATCAACATGGCTCTACACTTCATCCTGCAGCATCTGGATTCCCCGGATACCTACGCCAGGATCCTGTTCGTGGACTTCAGCCTGACCCCATCTGCAGGCGGATCACTGACTTCCTGACGGACAGGAAGTAGCAAGTAAGGCTGGGGAAAAATGTCTCTGGCCTGCGGTTAATCAGCACCCGTTCCCCTCAGGGCTGTGTTCTCTCCCCTCTTCTCGCTGTACACCAATGGCTGCACCTCCAACCACGAGTCTGCCAAGCAAATCAAGTTTGCAGATGACACCAACGTCATCTGACTCATCTCTGACGGGGATGAGTCTGCCTACAGAAGGGAGGTGGAACGGCTGGTGTCCTGGTGCAGCCACAACAACCTGGTACTAAACACCCAGAAGACAGCAGAGGTTGTTGTGGACTTCAGGAAGCACACAGCCCCACTCCCCCCATAACCCTGTCTGACACTCCCATCACGATGGTGGACTCGTGTCACTTCCTGGGTACCACTATCACCCAAGACCTCAAGTGGAAGCCCACCATCACCTCCATCATAAAAAAAGGCCCAGAAGAGGATGAACTTCCTGAGGCAATTGAAGAAATTCAACCTATCGGTCGATGAGGCAATTCTGCACCACAGTCATCAAGTCCATCCTCACCTTCTCCATCACCGTGTGATACGCCGGAGCCACCACCTGGGACATAAGAAAACTGCAGTGTGTTGTACGCTCTGCTGAGGTCATTGGCTGCTAGCTCCCCTTCATACAGGACCTGTACACCTCCAGGACATTGAGGCATGCAGGTCAGATCACAGCAGACCCGTGTCACCTTGGACACAGTCTCTTCGACTCGCTCCTACCTGGCAGGAGGTTCAGATCTATTCGGACCAGAACCTGTCGTCACAAAAACAGTTCTGCGGTCGGACTCATGAATGACAATCGTAGACCTGCCCACTCCAGCTGCATTGTTCCAGTCACATGACCCTGTGTTGTATTTGCACCTGAACTGACCCGTTCTGACCTGTTCCTACACTGACTTGTATAAAGTAGCTACTTCTGTAATTATTGAGTCCCTATATTATTATCATTTATGTTTATATCTTAATTCTAATTTTGCACCGAGAACCACAGCAATTTTCTAATGTTGTGATTCTCGCACATATAACAATAAAACCTTCTGATTCTGAATCGCATTGTTTTACTGTTATTTTTCTTCATGTAATAAACAAGAATCTAATTATTCATAACTTGTTAAAAGGATGTTGCCAAAGCAAGTAGACAAGCAAGTAGACAGAGTCACCCACCCCAAGGCACCCACGATTTACAGAGAATCACGTGATTCTCCGGAAACCCCCTTGAATATTAAAGACTTACTTCCTCTCTGGATGCCATCAAAATAAAAGCTCCAAAGTGTACACTGTAGTAGTCTTTTAACACCGATAGGTGGCAGACAAGCTACACGACGTGGTTGGATAAAAACATAAATCAGTTAGGAGAGACAGTCTGAAGTCAAAATCTCACTTTTTAATTAAAGCAAAAACATTTACATTCATTAGAGCACTTTATTGTTTAACCCTTAAACTTCCACACCAAGAAATAAGCAAATAAAATTTCACATTTTTGCATTTTCCTATTCAGTCACTGAGGGCTATAATATAATAATATAATAATAATAATACTAATAATCATCATCATTATTATTATTATAAAAATAGTTATGTTTGTATTACATTTACATTCACCTTTACCTTTTTATTTTGTAGGTGTATTTCAGTAAATTGAGTGCATGTTTTAATTATAGAGAACAAAATATGCTCTACCATAAAATGTACACACATCACAGAAAATAAACACATCAGAAGTCATAAGAACATTGGTAAAAAGTACACACAACAGAGTAAATATGTAATCAATAAAAAATTAAAAGTCTTTAAACAAAGCGGAGTGTCTCATGACAGTTTAGCTGCTGATGCTGAGGAGGGACAGATATGAGGAAAAACTACTGATTCAAACTCTTTATCTGGATTCATTCAGAATATGGAGAGCTCATCTGTAAAGCAAAAATAAATAAATAAATATATATATATATATATATATATATATATATATATATATATATATATATATATATATATATGTCACCATTAGGGAGACAGGGATATCAGGAAATCAGATTTAGCTGCATTTGAACAAATTTGTGAACCCCGCCCCCGATTGCTCAGGTAGACTTCACAGAAGAAACACAAGTGATGTTACCTGTATTTGAGTAAGATTTAATCAGAGTAACTGCCATTTTACCCGAGTACATGCCTAGTGCTTTTTACTCCTCTGTCAGAGCTAGCTTCGATTCGTCTGTAGGATTTCCTTTCAGAATCACAAAAAGACAGACTTACCGTGTCGATGTCGATGCACAGGTGCTCGCTGAGCATGTCGAACTCTCCAGGAGTCATCGGGGGCTCCGGAGACTGACAGGAACGAGGTGTGCTGCTTGAGTTAGAGCTAGAATCACATGAGAAAAATCTAATTAACTAAACAACTGCCTCTGATAATGATTATATATTTATTTATTTATGAACAACTTTTTTCTTTCATCCTTTGAGTGTCATCAAGTAAAACATTTCATAGCTGGTCTGTGCACTTCTTTGGTACGTTCTTGCTGTGTACTTCTAATTCCATTATTGGTTCTTTTTTTCCTGTGTTTTAAAAAAGAACCAAAAATGGAATTGTCTGTGCACTCTTCTGCTCTTTCTACTTTAGTTAGATTAGATTTAGCAGATTTTGCACACCTGAACTTCACCTTGCAGAGGTCATTCAACATGTACATAACACATTTTATTATGGCGTCATGGTAAAGCATGAACTCACCGCATTTCTGAGATGGGGATGAGGGTAGATGGGATGTATGGATGGACTAGAAAATGAATGGAGACGCAAGACATGTTAACGTGATCCCCTATCGTCATAAAAACTTTCAATTTCTGACATGAAATTCTACAACTTTTTAAGTCATTTTACTTGCCGTAGAATGAGACAACTACCAGTTTAAATCCATTCATTACCAATGCCTGGGTGTCTATTGGTTGTTATGTGAATGATTTTAAAGATGAGTTTTACATAGAAATATTTTAACAGCTGAAAATGAACTGTTTAAAATATCTAATTTTAGCTCAATGCTAAAACAACTTCCTGTTTTGTTGCTTGTTGACAAGCAAACTGAGCCTGACCACTAAGTTTTCTGTTCCTGCTTTAACACGGAACCACTGAATACACAAGCAAGCCTCTTTTGTGCTTTTCCAAACCACACAGGAGAGACATAGCTTCGATCCCCAGGTCTGAAGGTGGAGGGGTGACACACGGGCACATGTTTGCACAACATACAGTTTGAACAAACACTTGTCCATGTCCTAAACCATGTCCTCTCAACCAAATAAAACGCTGTTCAGTGATGCAACCCATAGTTTTAACATCTATGAAATAAATAAAAAAAACTGTCAAGGAACACAAACCTTAAAGCCTTGAAAGGCTGACATGGGTAATGTTGGACTGAGTTTATGGATTGCACTCATCAAACGTCCGTGCATCAACGTGTAGAAACACCAACGTCAAACAACTCATGAAAACAAAAGAAAATCTAATCCTGGATAAAAGCAAATCGTCATGTCCTTGCCTTTGCTTGGCTGGCTGTTGTAGAGCCGTCCGAAAGCCTCGTCTTTGGGAATGTCCGGATAGAGGAACTTGAGCGGGTTTTCAGGGACGACCCCATCTGAGATGACTTTATAGTCTCGTATGATGTCTGCAAATGGAAGAGCGCTCAGCCGGTTTTTAGTGTATGGCTCCACAGAGTTGAATTTGACTTCACCTGTAGAGAGATCTTTGTTAATGTAAGCAGGCCTAAAACGCTCCTGTCTCCTCTGACCTGCCCAAGATATGGTCTGTGGTCAGACCTCACCGTTCTCACTGTGCTCCACCCATGTGAACGTGATTCCACCAAGATGGCTCTCGCTGAAGCGTAGCAGGAAGGTACCGGGCTCTCGGTCTTTCAGCAGAACACGCTCCATCTCCTTACTCACAAAGCCCATGATGTAGCTGCACGGATGTTGGCAGGAAAACATGTATTTATCCTGATGACTGACACTTGTACAGTATCCTCTTTACAGGCCTGGACAATAAAACAAAACTGGCTCATCTAAATTATTGAGAAATTTAATTTCACAATTCTCAGTTCAGTACATCTGTGTTAAAGAATGCTTTTTTTTCCCTGTTTTTATTATTAATCTATACTGTTGCCATTCTTTCAGATCTTTCCAAAGCGTTGGATCTAGTTGATCACTATCTTTTACTGTATAAATTGCAAGCTATTGTCTTTCAAGATCATCTCTACTCTGGTTCAACTCCTATCTTCATCACCGTCGTCAGTGTGTGTCGTACAGGGGGAGTCTTTCAGCATTTACTGGAACAGCTAAGGGTATCCCTCAAGGTTCTTTATTGGGACCCTTATTATTTCCTATTTTTGTTAATGACATGCCTTTATGCTGCACAGAATGTAATATACATCTGTATGCTGACGATACATTATCTACTGTACCAAACCAACCATTTCTGGGATAAATGTATCGCTACAACACGATTTTGACGCTGTTCAGCAGTGGCTACAAGCCAATAAACTTCTACTTAATAAAACAAAATCTTATTCCTCACTGTTTCATAGGAAGGCTACAGATTCAGGTGAAAAACCCCTTAATTTTCATTTTCATGACTCTTCACATATTGAATCGGCCGAGACCTTTAAATACCGAGGTGTTTGGCTGGATCATGATCTAACCTTTAAAACTCATGTTCATGCAACTACACATAAACTCAATTCTCGGCTAAAAATACTTTATCGTTCTGTTAACTGTTTTAACTTTCTGATCAGGAAAAGAATAGTCACACAGCTGCCTCTGCCTACTTTGGGCTATGCTGACATTATTTATCAAAATACCACTGCTTCTTGTCTGCACTCTTTAGATATAGCATATAACAGTCTTTGCCACTTTGTGCTTGGTTGTCCCGTTAGGACACATCGCTGTGCGATGTATGGACAGTCATCCTGGCTTACACTTTTGGCCAGAAGACAGTTTCACTGGATTCAGTTTATTTTTAAAAGCTTTTATTTTAACTACCCTGATTATGTTAAGCTACATTTGGTACGGTACAACTCATTTCACGGTCGGAGACATAATGATCAGATCTTTTTTGTTGTTCCTAGAGTAAAAAGAGAGGTAGGGAAATATGCTTTTATTTTGATGTCCCCGTATGATTGGAATAGTCTTCCCTTATCTCTTCAGTCCATATCTTCATTTAGAATGTTTGGCTGAGTCTTGAGTGAATATTTTCAGAACATTTGTCTATGTTACTGGTTAAGTTTACTTGACTTTTGCTCTCATTGGTCATGCATATATTTTATTTTTGTTTTTCAGTCATGTTTGTTCATTAGTTCAGACCTGTGGTTGTCTGTAGTGGGGTTTATGCTTGGGGGGTGGGTTGGAGCATTGTGAGCCATTGTGTGTGTGTGTGTGCGTGTGTGTGTGCGTGTGTGTGTGTGTGTGTGTGTGTGTGTGTGTGTGTGTGTGTGTGTGTGTGTGTGTGTGTGTGTGTGTGTGTGTGTGTGTGTGTGTGTGTGTGTGTGTGTGTGTGTGTGTTGTAATAACTGTCTACATATGTTGGGGTTGTAATGCTGCTTGTGTCTGGGATCTCTGATCTGCTTGTTTTGTTCATTTTTGATCTGAAATAACGGAGGACCCCCTTGAAAACAAGATGTTTCATCTCAAGGGGTTAATCCTCCTTATAAAAATATGTCAATAAATGAAATAAAAATAAATGATTAATTAATCATTTACAGATAAGGTCTGAGTTAGATCGGGGAGGCAGAGTTAGACCTACTTCTCGTTCCAGACTGGCAGCAGGTGCTTCTTGATGAGTTCCAGGATCGAGTCCAGCCACATCCAGAAACTGAATGGCTTTCCTGGAATATTCTCCTTCGCAAGTAAAGGATAAATAAGAACAGACTACGTTTAATTATGACGTATGTTTAAATATGAATTCTTCTGCAGAAAATAAATAGTATGGGTGTCAGAATTAGATCGGAGGCCACTGACCTTTGCAAACTTGGACCAAGAGACTTGGCAGTCACTGCAGGAGGCAAGCTGACCTACAGAAACATAAATACCAGCAAGCACAACGCCACTTCAACTCATCAAAAGAAAATGCTCTGAACAAGGTGGTTCCTTCAGGTAGATGATGGCATTCCTAAATGTATAATGAGTGTTCCTGAGATGTTTTGTTTTATCTGAATTTCGGATTAAAATGCTTTTATTTTTAGTTCTTGAAGAAGACGAATCTGGACATATGATCTCTGATAAATACACTGAACTGAAACTGAACCAACCCTGCAAACAATCAACGTTACACAGATGTGCAGATCTCGTTTATATTGAGTCTGTCTGTCCAGACCACGTCTGCAGGACGTCCAAACTAGGTCTTTGCACAATGGGAAATCCCCCCAAGTGTCCTGCGTAAGGTTGAAATGGACAAACGGTTTTACACCTTTAATTTTAAAAATATACAAATGATAAACAAACCCAGAAGCTTTTCTCCCAGCATGGAGAGCTGGTCTTTGTTGAGGCCTTGACCAGCGAAGGTGGAGAACTGCCAACTGAGGACCTCTGAGAGCTGAGTCCAGCTGGCCCGAGGCGGGTTCCCAAAGAACGCCAAGTTCTGAAGAAAGTGGAAAAGAGAGGGGATGTGATGATCAAACCAGTGTAGAGAGGTGCTTTAGTGATCAAAGCTCACCCTGGGTTCATCAGTCAGGAGGTTGTACCACATGACGGAGGCCCAGCCACCAGGAAGCTGGCTCACGTTGGAAATCACCACAAGTGGAAGGGAACACGTCTGGCAGAAATGAGATCAGCAACACGGTGAGTGATAAAAACACACAATAAAGCAAAGCTTGACTGCTGCTGACCTCCAAATCAACGGTGAGGCCCTGCACCGTGAAGCAAGCCTCGAAACTCAAGGAGTGGAGTTCTTCTGTCACAGACAACAAGCCCTGATAACAAAAATAAACAAAACAGCTGCGATGAGACCAAAAACATCCGGACATCAGTGAGCATAACGAATGTTAATGATCATACCTCGTTCCCCTTTGTGCCATTTATATATTTCTTCTCTTTCAGCTGCTATAAAACACAAATACTGAGTCAGCTGCTTTAATTCACTAAAATACAAGCTGGTTGACTTTATAAAAGATAAAATCAAAGTTCTGCAGAGTGCATCTGGTTTAGTGGATGTTATTTACCAGATGTCTGAACTCTACTGAGAGGCACCCGTTTGAATAATCCTCGATGTCCATCACTTTAGTGTTGTTGGTCAGGATGAAAAACTGTCGACTTCTGAGGACGAATGTAGGGTGAGACAGCTGACTTACAGACACACACACACACCCACACACACACACACACCTGTGAGGGTGTGTGGTGTTTTTTTAGTTCATATTTGTAAAATAAAACAGGATTTGGGTCTTTCTGCTTCAACAGCATGAGCAGAAGGAAGAGTTTTCTCAAATGTGTTTCCTTTGGACTTGTTTTTACTGCAAAATAATAATAATAGATTTTTATAAAAATATTCTATAAAATAAAAAAAATCTGAAGGTTTAGACAGAATAAAACATACGGGTGATTTTTCATTTGTCTATAATAAAAATGGTTAAAAAGAAGATTACCAGATGGCTGTGACAAATGTCTTAACTCCCAAATTTATTCTGGTATTATTCACAGCCTGTTTGTGTTTCTTTTCCCTGCATAATGACTAAACGATGATGTTGTTTTGTACTCACACTCTGCCAGGCGGGAGGTCCCTATCAGCACAAAAACACACATGTATGGTTGGGTTATATGGCATAATAGTTTCCATTTGTGAGCGATTCAAGTCCTCACTTGTCAAACGTTGTTTTGACTTTCAGCTGATAATCCACCTCAGGAAGCTTGACCAAAAGTCTGCAGGAAATCAGACAGATTTAAATCAGGTTCTCATCAAGAACCACAAACCAGCGGAAGAGAAGACAGATACCTGACTTTGGTGGTGAACTGTACTCCAGTCTTGATGATGAGAGGTTTCTGTGGATGTGTGGGCATGCAGGGCTGCTTCTCCACCACAAAGGAACTAAAAACAAACAACAACAAAAAGTTCTGAATGGAGACCACCTCCCCATGACCCTGATCAGGAACAGAATGGATGGACTATCACCTCTTGATGAGATGGTAGATGAGGTATTTAACTCTCTCCTCCAGGTGTGGCTTCTGCAGTGGGATCGGGTCACTCTCGTAGGTGACTTTAACAACCAGCTCCCCCAGTTTGTCCAGCTGTCGTTTCATCTGGAACAGGCTCTGGGCTGTCACCGTAAACCTTCAGCAGGAGAACATGTGTGAGGGTGGTGGTGCACCGCTGGGATCAAATGCAACTGAGTCTTTTTTATTCCAAAAGGTGTGTTGAAGAAGAGAAACGATAGAGAGGCGTAACCAGGAGCTAAAGGTGGAGTTTCAGGTTCTCAGATGTTTCTCCTCAAACTGACAAAGTCACTAAGCTGTAGATCCCCTAGTCAGGCTGATGTTAGAACATCTGCATCGTGTTTGACTTTGACTGTTTACCAGCTTTGCAGCTGCTCCAGCCCTGTAAGCATGGGACCTCCGATGCCAGCGATCTGCTGCCTGCGTTTCCAGTCCTGCAGCTCCGGACTGAGCTGAGAGGTCACCAGGTCATCGACCTCTTTGATCACCACATCCATCTTTGACAACACCTCCTTCAAAGGCATCAGAGACAGGAAAGGTTGGATGGATTTTGACGTTTGTTGACATTAAACCCAGAAGATGTTTTATTCCTCTGTGAAAGCACACCTTCCTCTTAAAGTCAAGCCTGTTGAGCATTTCCTGTAGTCGTGTCACTTCCTGTTTCATCCTCTCAGAGGATCTGTCTGATGCTTCTGAGAAAAATCAAACAATCCACAAACATGGATGTTTATAGAGTGTGATGCTGATGCAGACATGTTTAAATGATTACAGAGCATGTCTGCCTGAAAGGCTGGAATCGTTTATTCTCTCACCTCGAGACTGGAGAGTCTTATAACAGAAGTCAAAGTCATCTTGCATGTCCTCGATGTATTTAACAGCCTGGTCCACCAGCTACAAACAAGACGTTTGTTAAAATAGAGCCAGGACACAGCTGAGTGTCAGCCTGACAGGTGTTTGGGTTTACCTGCACGCTGCCTCTGATGATCCCAACTCTGTTATCCATGCTCTTCTGCCTCTTGAAGGCCACCGAATTCTGCAGTGACTGCTCCAGCGCTCCCTGTTAGACACAGCTTCTTTATTACCCGTCTGCTACTTACTTTGGGCCAGGAAGAATTTTCTTAATTCTTTCAGCTACATCTTGTGACAAAACTAACTCCATCCGTCTGTTTGATGATGATGATGATGATGATGATGATGATGATGTTGGGTTAAACAGAAAGCATCACACACCTCTGTGAGACCTCAGGGATGCAAAATGAGTCAGAGGATTGAAAATCCTCCAGAGTTCACAGAAAGTCAAGAGAAGATATTTGTTTAGTAAAACATGGAAAAATGAACATTTTCTTGGGAATAAATTCAAACAGCTGGAATTGTGGGAGCGTGGAGCTGCCTCCTTCTTCTTAGAAATGCTTCAGCAGCACATTAAGGAAGGTGAAGGGACAAACCTGCTCCTGAGTGCTGACGCTGGAGAGAATACGCCGCTCCTCCCTGAGGCAGGTGGAGATAACTCTAGCCATGGCGGTGGTGTTGCTGGTGTATTTTCGCTGGAGAACAGACAGAATCCCAAAGTTGTGTAACATTTAGGGTTTTGTGACTTTTGGCTAAATTATCACCCACAGAAAGCCTTTTGGAAGAAATGGATCCTACTTTCCAACTATGACTGGTTCCAGGTTCCTGCAGCTCTGTGACCTTTGAGAAAGAAACTAGCTTTGCATGATTTTTAAACATGTTGAAACTCACAGTGGCACAAGGCTGAGGCTCTGAGGCTCACGCTAGATGTTTGTCTCAGCCCACAAGTCAGCTATTTCATCCATTTAGAAAACTTTTATTTTCCTGACATTTTGTTTTTTTTACTCATCAGAACGAGGCGCATCAAACTTTCCCTCAGCAGAATTCTGGCCGCTGCAGCACCTTGCCTTCCTGACATTTAAACCACAAACTGCGACGCCGCTCTTTAGGCTCAGACTCTCATTCAGAAAAGTTCAGAACTTTTTGCTGAGGGAGGAGGGAAAGTTTTCTCTCAATTCCAGGAGTGACTAATCATAATATCAGCATCATTACCAGGAAGTCACAGGACGAGAAGCACAAACACACACCTACACTTTCACACTTTCAGATGAACTGAAGACCAGTTTCCAGCCTCTGGTTTCTTCCCTGTTCTGTCAGATATAAACACATCTGCTTAAATCAGCTAGATTTCACTTGTGCTGCATGCTGATGCAGTAGTAGACCGGTAACGAGGAGCCACAAGCACAGTGAAGAAGCTGCACATGAGTACCTGCTCTCTCTGACACATTTACACTAACAGGAAGTGGCGGTATGAGACTCACGGCCCTGTTCTGCAAAGATAAATGTCTTTTCAAGAATCAAACACCAGCTTTAGTTCCTGACCTGAACCAAACATCCTGTAGCGCCCCTCCAACAAAATATGTAATTATCAAGCAGCGACTCAAAGGATCCGCGAGCCTCGGCAGAATAAATAAAACAAATTCACAGAGAATTTAGAGAAGCAGCTGCACATTTAAAGCTTTTATGAGATAACATTGTAGTTCCTTTTCACCTCTGATGCAATATATATAAACTACTCATCATCATCATCGTTGGGGATCTCAAAACAACAAGACTGCTGTCGTTTTACTCTGAAGAACAACATTTTTATGTAGTTTACCTGTTTATAGACAAAGGGATATAGATACAGGGACAGGAGCAGTTGAGCAGGTAGAGAGGGTTGTCCAGTAATTGGAAGGTTGCAGGTTTGATCCCGCTCCAACCAGAGAATGCAGCTGTTGTGTCCTTGGGCAAGACACTTGACCGGTCTTGCTGCCCCTCCTCTGTTAGGGCACCTCAGGGCAGCTGTGGCTACAATGTAGCTCATCACCATCAGCGTGTGAATGTCTGATTGTCGTGTGAAGCGCCTTGGGGGGTTGTAGAGCCCTAAGAAGGTGCTATACAATTACAGTTATTTTATTTGATTTTTGTAGTTTACCTGTTTGTGTCGTTTATCTATTTATGTAGTTTAGCTGTTTCTGTAATTCACCCAATTATGTAGCTTACCCATATATTTAATTTACCTGTTATGGAGTTTATCTATTTATGTAGTTTAGCTGTTTATGTAGTTTAGCTGTTTATGTAGTTTATCTACTCATGTAGTTTAGTTTGTGTAGTTTATTAGTTTATGTAATTTACCGTTTGTGTTGTTTATCTATTTGTGTAGTTTATCCACTCATGTAGTTTAGCTGTTTATGTAGCTTATCCACTCATGTAGTTTAGCTGTTTATGTAGTTTATCCACTCATGTAGTTTAGCTGTTTATGTAGTTTATCCACTCATGTAGTTTAGCTGTTTATGTAGTTTATCCACTCATGTAGTTTAGCTGTTTGTGTAGTTTATCTACTCATGTAGTTTAGTTGGTGTAGTTGATTAGTTTATGTAATTTACCAGTTTGTGTTGTTTATCTATTTGTGTAGTTTATCCACTCATGTAGTTTAGCTGTTTATATAGTTTATCCACTCATGTAGTTTAGCTGTTTATGTAGTTTATCCACTCATGTAGTTTAGCTGTTTATGTAGTTTATCCGCTCATGTAGTTTAGTTTGTGTAGTTTATTAGTTTATGTAATTTGCCGGTTTGTGTTGTTTATCTAATTATGTAGTTTATCCACCCATGTAGTTTAGCTGTTTATGTAGTTTATCCACTCATGTAGTTTAGCTGTTTATGTAGTTTAGCTGTTTGTGTAGTTTAGCTGTTTGTGTAGTTTATCCATTCATGTAGTTTATCTATTTATGTAGTTTAGCTGTTTATGTAGTTTATCCACTCATGTAGTTTAGCTGTTTGTGTAGTTTACCTATTTATGTAGTTAATCAATTTAGGTAATTTACCTGTTTATGTAATGTATCTAATTATGTAGTTTATCCACCCATGTAGTTTTGCTGTTTATGTAGTTTAGCTGTTTGTGTCGTTTATCTACTCATGTAGTTTAGTGTGTGTAGTTTATTAGTTTATGTAATTTACAAGTTTGTGTTGTTTATCTATTTGTGTAGTTTATCCACTCATGTAGTTTAGCTGTTTATGTAGTTTATCCACTCATGTAGTTTAGCTGTTTATGCAGTTTATCCACTCATGTAGTTTAGCTGTTTATGTAGTTTATCCACTCATGTAGTTTAGCTGTTTATGTAGTTTATCCACTCATGTAGTTTAGCTGTTTATGTAGTTTATCCACTCATGTAGTTTAGCTGTTTGTGTAGTTTATCTACTCATGTAGTTTAGTTTGTGTAGTTTATTAGTTTATGTAATTTACCATTTTGTGTTGTTTATCTATTTGTGTAGTTTATCCACTCATGTAGTTTAGCTGTTTATATAGTTTATCCACTCATGTAGTTTAGCTGTTTATGTAGTTTATCCACTCATGTAGTTTAGCTGTTTATGTAGTTTATCCACTCATGTAGTTTAGCTGTTTATGTAGTTTATCCGCTCATGTAGTTTAGTTTGTGTAGTTTATTAGTTTATGTAATTTGCCGGTTTGTGTTGTTTATCTAATTATGTAGTTTATCCACCCATGTAGTTTAGCTGTTTATGTAGTTTATCCACTCATGTAGTTTAGCTGTTTATGTAGTTTAGCTGTTTGTGTAGTTTAGCTGTTTGTGTAGTTTATCCATTCATGTAGTTTATCTATTTATGTAGTTTAGCTGTTTATGTAGTTTATCCAATCATGTAGTTTAGCTGTTTGTGTAGTTTACCTATTTATGTAGTTAATTCATTTACGTAATTTACCTGTTTATGTAATGTATCTAATTATGTAGTTTATCCACCCATGTAGTTTAGCTGTTTATGTAGTTTAGCTGTTTGTGTCGTTTATCTACTCATGTAGTTTAGTTTGTGTAGTTTATTAGTTTATGTAATTTTCCAGTTTGTGTTGTTTATCTATTTGTGTAGTTTATCCACTCATGTAGTTTAGCTGTTTATGTAGTTTATCCACTCATGTAGTTTAGCTGTTTATGTAGTTTATCCACTCATGTAGTTTAGCTGTTTATGTAGTTTATCCACTCATGTAGTTTAGCTGTTTATGTAGTTTATCTACTCATGTAGTTTAGTTTGTGTAGTTTATTAGTTTATGTAATTTACCAGTTTGTGTTGTTTATCTATTTGTGTAGTTTATCCACTCATGTAGTTTAGCTGTTTATGTATTTTATCCACTCATGTAGTTTAGCTGTTTATGTAGTTTATCCACTCATGTAGTTTAGTTTGTGTAGTTTATCAGTTTATGTAATTTGACGGTTTGTGTTGTTTATCTAATTATGTAGTTTATCCACCCATGTAGTTTAGCGGTTTATGTAGTTTATCCACTCATGTAGTTTAGCTGTTTATGTAGTTTAGCTGTTTGTGTAGTTTAGCTGTTTGTGTAGTTTATCCATTCATGTAGTTTATCTATTTATGTAGTTTAGCTGTTTATGTAGTTTATCCACTCATGTAGTTTAGCTGTTTGTGTAGTTTACCTATTTATGTAGTTAATCCATTTACGTAATTTACCTGTTTATGTAATGTATCTAATTATGTAGTTTATCCACCCATGTAGTTTAGCTGTTTATGTAGTTTAGCTGTTTGTGTAGTTTAGCTGTTTGTGTAGTTTATCCACTCATGTAGTTTAGCTGTTTATGTAGTTTATCCACTCATGTAGTTTAGCTGTTTATGTAGTTTATCCACTCATGTAGTTTAGCTGTTTGTGTAGTTTACCTATTTATGTAGTTAATCCATTTACGTAATTTACCTGTTTATGTAATGTATCTAATTATGTAGTTTATCCACCCATGTAGTTTAGCTGTTTATGTAGTTTACCATTTTGTTTAATTTATCTGTGAGCACATAGCAGCAACAGGAGGATGTAAACATGAACAAACTGAAGATGATCCATTCATCACCTTTTTGTTTTGTTCCCTTTTGTTTCTGTTTCCGTGAAAGCTTGTTTAGATCTTTTATTTCCCCCGTTCATCACTTCAGACCACCGATGGACCTTTACTTCTTTAGATGAAAGCCCTTTAGGGCCTCTTTGCTGCAGTCGTCTCTGAAGAGGAAAGTGTTTTGTTTCAGAATAATCTAAACTTGACTAAAATGAAGAACATCTAATAATTCCACCTATGTTTTACGTGTATGACATTATATAACCCTTTTAGGAGTTTGTTCTTTCTATATGTTGATGATGAGATGTTCGCAGTATCTGTTGGAAATGAACCAAAACCTCTATTAAATTTTTTATAGTAAAATATTAAGCTGTCGACTCAGTTTTAAACATTTAGAGAAAGTCATTCATCGTTCGTCTAGTTCTGCCTGAACTAGATTTGAAATTCCTGTCTCAGATGAGAAACGCTTCCTTGCTTTGAAGTTTATTTGTGTTTTAATTGGAATCACACGTTTGGATAAACATGTTCAGTGTTGCACAGATTCTCACATTTTGAGCTTGAAGGCTTTTTTTTTAAATCTGATGAACATCATTTGACAGCAGTCACCCTGTGACGACAAAAACCTGATGTAAACAGATTTTTAGGAGACGATGTGGCTACTTCACGCAGAAGTAAGTCACCAATATTATATTATTGGTTAATACATTATTACATATACAGTATGTTAGTGGACACTAATTTTCCTGCTGCAGGGTAACATCTTGCTGGACTGCTCCTGTCTTTGTTTGTGTCAGTCATTTGTTCTTCTCTTGTTCACCTTGAGAACAAAACCTGAAGGTTTCCAGAAACATTGTCTTCACAGAGCTTTGAAAGCAATAAATTAATGCAATAAAATAATATTTTATGCTTTTTGCCTCTTTAAGAAACAGAAATTATGAAAACAAGACAGAAGATCAGAGTTGTTTAAAGAAATGATCATTATTGCTCTGCTCACCAACACTTATCCACTTTTTAAAAGAGCTTGGGCTCATAGAAAGCTTGATGATGGCACACTGAAGCGCAGCTGCTCCTGGAAAACCGTGGGTTTAATGTGTCTTTTATAACTCAAACATACCTGCAGCTGTTGGTGGATGATTTTCATGTTGTGTCTTTGCAGGAAGTTTTGTTCCTGCATGCGGACGTTCTCCAGCTGGGAGAGCAGGTTTGTGAACAGAACCGATGCCATGGACTCATCGTTTACAGCCGAATCCCTGAGAACACAAAGCCAAGCCTTGAGAAGAGAATAAAACTCATAACATAAAACCAAATTAAATCCTTGAATTCCTTGTTTTGTTGGTTCTAAATGTGAGCTGAAGGAACACAAAAGCAGCGTGACACTTTCAGGCCTCTTCACTCCTCTACTGATGTGGTTTTAAATGCTTTAAAAACATTTTTACGCCCAAATAAAGTTTTATAGTCATTTCTGACTATTTGAGACACCATTATGAGTTTCTTCCTGCACCAAGAACAAACTAGGAGGATTTTTGATGTTAAACATTTCTACATTTTAAATGCTTTCCTACTAAATCCTCTCTAAGGAATGACTAACGTTTATTGGCTCTTTGATCTGTTGATGTGCTGAAACCAGAAGCATGGGAGTAAAGAGTGGATGAAGACTGAAGTTTTGTAATAAAGGAAACAGGAAGTGCTGCAGAGCAGACTGGGCTTGTTTCCAGATTCTTACGCCTTGGCTCACCGTGAATCACCTGACTCACAATTACAAGAAACTCTTTGGAGCTGGATGTGGTGGAACCTGTCTGGATTGGGATATGGGAAGAAAAAAACTGGTTTTCCACTCAAACCAGTTGATGTATGTCAAATGTACTTACGATCTGTTACACCTGACTGTTTCTGTGAAAAGTTAGGAATGCACTTGGATGAAAAAGACAATCTTAACAGCCTGATTTAGAGATATTGTGTCTACAGACTGAGAATAACAAGTCTCTACCCACCAGTCCTGTGACTCGATCCAGCCAGCCAGGCTCTGTCGGATGTCCATGGGGAAATTATCATCATACAGGTAGTCCACATGTTCCAGGAGCCGCATCTCCAGCTGCTGAATCTGTTTCCACTGAGTCATTCTGATGGCAGCTATCACTAAACTGAATGAAAACTCACTCTTCTACCTGTAGTCAGCCTCTTTAAAGTCAGCGATCCCTTCAGAGTGAGATGTTTCTACACTGCCTCCTCGTCTGCGTCAGTCACCATGTGAGCTTGTTTCTGTCGAAGGCTTTCGGTTTTCTATGAGTCTGTTCAGGAAGAGGCCTCGCTCACTGAGAGATCAGGAAACCCACACACACACACACACACACACACACACACTAAATAAAACCACAAACAGCATGATAACACAATTGTCTTCGCACACACGGTGACTGGCGCTGCTCCCCTCAGACCAGATAACAGATGGTTTTTAACAGGAATTACAGTTTTAACAAGCATTTGTCCGAACAGGAGTCACATTTTTAAAGTCCTGTGTGTTGTGCACTGCATTGGTCCGTTTCAACCACACCATTCACTAATTTCATGTTGTTTTCCCACTGAGTGCAGTCGCTCAGTCAGCAGATTTCTACAATGCTTACATTTCCTTAACAGACAACTTATACCCACCACCAAAAGCATGGATCATTTTGTCTGATTTACAAATGTTTACACACAACATACCAATAAAAACAACAAGAATCCAATACCTACACTATAAAACTTCTATTTTTGCAATAACATCAGCTCAAAACTGAGTTGCTGATTAACAGTTCTACAAAACTTTGACACACGGCTGATTTATTCAGGTAAATTAGGTCAAACACTTCTGATTCCAAAACGTGTTTCAGAGGCAGGTGCTGAAGGTGGATCATCTTGGCTGACATCAGGTGCAAACATGTGGCCTAACCCCGAAGATCGTTGAAATGAGATAATTTTGTGTTTGACTTTGTTGTTTTTCTCCCTTTCATCTGAGCGTTTTGTTGCTGTTTTTGGTGAGCCTGCTCAGTGTATTCTGTCTTTTCTCTTGTATGCTTCATGAATATTTTGTTCATTGTGAGCAAAAAGAAAAACTTGTAACAGTAAAGAAAAAAAGAACCATTTGGGCAATAAGTGTTTGGAAAAAGGTAACTGAAGTTAAGCGCTCGATGGCAACCAGATGAAACTCTCATCATGCTCATCAGATATCTTAACTCCCTCTGTTTTAGTCGGGTCCCTTGCCTCTATCAGTCCATCTCTGTTGACTATGATCAACAGCTCACTGAGCCAAGACTGTGTTCCATCTTACTTTAAAAATGCAGTAGTGACTCCTCTCTTAAAGAAACCCAACCTTGACGCCAGCTCCACCAGTAACTTTAGGCCCATTTCTAAGCTACCTTTCATCAGCAAAGTACTTGAGAAGGTTGTTGAAACTCAACTCAGATCCTGGTTTTCTAAGTCAAATATCTCTGACCCCTTCCAATCTGGCTTTCTGAAGCAGCACTCAACCGAGACTGCTCTAGTAAGGGTGCATAATGACCTCCTGATGGCTGCTGATGCAGGGAAATGCTCTGTCATAGTCCTGCTCGACCTCAGTGCAGCTTTTGACACTGTAGACCACAACGTACTACTAAACAGGTTAAATGTCCTGGCTGGGATTTCAGGTTCTGCTCTAGACTGGCTCTCTTCCTATCTCACCAACAGAACATTCACAGTGAAGTCAGAAACCTTCTCCTCAGACACTGCCTCTCTAACATGCGGGGTCCCACAAGGTTCAGTTCTAGGGCGTCTACTATTCGCATTCTATATTCTTCCTCTAGCTGGCATCATTCAGTCTTTCCCAGACATCTCCTACCACATCTACGCTGATGATATTCAGCTCTATATGTCCTTTATGCCACACCAGTTGGACAGGCTGGCCACACTTGTACTCTGCCTGACCCAGATCAGTAACTGGCTGTCCAGCAACTTTCTTGTTCTCAACACCAACAAGACAGAGACCCTGATCGCTGCACCCCCGGAACTTCAACCAAAAATTGAGCAAGAAATTGCCTCTTTTTGCCCATCAGCCAAGGCCAACATTAGAAACCTGGGAGTTATTTTTGATCCAGCTTTAAGTTTAGACTCACACGTCAAAACCATCTCCCGCTCTTGTTTCTTTCAACTGAGAATTATTTCAAAAGTCCGTAAACTAGTTTCTACTGCAGATCTGGAAAAAAATCATCCATGCTTTTGTGTCATCGCGCTTAGACTACTGTAACGCTCTTTTTACTGGTCTCAGCAAAAACTCCGTCTCACGCCTTCAAGCCATCCAAAATGCAGCAGCCAGACTCCTAACCAAATCCAGCAGACGAGCTCACATCACTCCAGGTTTACAGTCCCTCCACTGGCTCCCGGTAGAATATAGAATTCAGTTTAAAGTTTTAGTCCTGACCTATAGAGCTCTTAACAACCAGGCTCCAAGCTACCTATCTGAGCTTTTATCCCCACACACCACCTCTCTGAACCTTAGATCCACATCTGAAAACCTCCTGGCTGTTCCTCGAACCAGACTGAAAACCAAAGGGGACAGGGCCTTTCAGACTATTGCACCCAGACTTTGGAACAGTCTACCTTCAAATCTCCGTCTCTCTAACACTGTAGAGGTCTTTAAAAATCATCTAAAAACTCACCTTTTCATCCAGGCGTTCCCTCCCTAAATGTTTCAGAATGATGGCTTTGTTCGGGTTCACACCTTCACTTTGTTAATACTCATGATTTTATTTTCTATTTTATCCCTGCTATTGTTTTTCTGATGTTTTTATTGGTTAGAGGTATTTGCCCTGATCTTTATCATGTTGTACAGCGCTTTGTGATTTATATCTGAGAAAGGCGCTATGTAAATAAACTTTTACTTACTTTTTACTTACTTACCTTAACCCTCCCACTGTCTTTATGGGTGACCCCGTGAGGAAAGTTGACCACTGAGCAGGGTTGATGGTTTATCCCTTGAGGTCCAAGTGGCAGGGGTGAGGTGGTGCTCACTCCTCACCCCCGCCACATGGACCTTAAGGGATAAACCATCAACCCTGCTCAGTGGTCAACTTTCCTCACGGGGTCACCCATAAAGACAGTGGGAGGGTTAAACATCTTTGTCGATTTAAACTTTAACTGACAAAATTCTTAATAAATGTAAAGATAATTCTACAGTTTGTTGCAATTTGAAATGTTATTGATGCCATTTTATTTAATTTTTTATTTACCCGAGTCGAGTCGATTGAGAACTCATTTTCATTTAGCATGATGATCTGGCCAGGAGGCAGCAGCAACAGACACCAAGGAACAACAGGTAAGATAAAACAGGTAGACATAAGGACAACGGTCTGCTCTCATATCTAATATGTACAAGCAATCAGAATCGAGCTAACCAACAGTCTTTAATACTCAGAAGAACATTGATCAGAAACTATTGATCACCAAGAATTATTGAAGGTAGATAATGGAATGTAGGTAGTGAGCTTCAGTGGTTTTTGCAGCTCATTCCAGTCGTTGGAAGCAGCAAGGAGCGGCAAAAGGAGGTGCAAGCTTTGGGAATAACCATAGAGATTAAGTTACTGGAACGTAAATTGTTGGAAGTGATGAGTAATGAGCGCAGATATGACGGGTTCTACCGTGACTGTTTTGTATATGAACTGATGCCGATGTAACATCCTGCAGGAATGGAGAGATGGCCAGTAAACGAGTGAGTACAGATCACAATGATGAGTGGTGAAAGGGGCACCAGTGACCAAACAGATCGCTGAGTGTCAGATGACATCGAGTTTATGAAGAAGTTTGTTGGAATCAGTCCTATAAATAATGTCACCGTAATCTAAGATGGGAAGGATTGTCATGTTGACCAAGGTTTGCTTTGCAGAATGAGTAAAGGACGACCTGTTGTGGTGTAGAAACCCAATTCTTGACTTTAGAAAGTAAATAATTAATGTGAATGTCAAATGAAAGTGTGCTGTCATGCCAGACAGGGGCGTAGCACCAAATTCTGGGCCCTAGGTACAAGTCTTCTAGGTGGCCCACATGCTCAATTACTTAATATCTCTCTTACACATTTTTTGTCATGCTATAAGACAAGATAATAAATATGATCTTAGTTTAACCTCTATATTGAGCAAATACAAATGCCAGCATAATAAAAGTGAAATGCCCAGACTTCACATATAATTATTTTTATTTGCCAACAATGTGTTCAAACAAAAATCCTGGAATTTATTTTCCAGTAAATGCCCACTGACGGGTCTTCATGTTAGCAAAATCACTTATGAGATCTTTAAAGTCCAATCCTTTGGCTAATTGGCTTTCAATAGAAAGAAGAGCTAGGCTGTTCAGTCTATCCTGGGACATTGTTGATCTCAAATAATTTTTCACCAGTTTCAGTTTGCTAAAAGCCCGTTCACCCCCAGCAACAGTCACAGGTAGTGTGCAAAAAATCCTCAGTTTAATACAAACTTCTCCAAAAATGCTCTGTAATAGCATCCTGTATGGCATTAAGCAGCTCAAGAGGAGACCGAATGTGGCACCATATATTGTTCTCAGGTGTAGCATCTCATTCTCAAATTCAGCTGTGAGATCCTTGTAATATTTTCTCATCAGTGCCTGGCATGATATCTTCATCTGCTCTTCAGTCATGTCTGTCATGGTTCATGATGTTAAGCTTAGCTAATACTGATATATATTGATATATTAAATACATATGACATGAAATAAACCAGGTTCTCTCTGTGAATGTAATGTACTCTAAATTTTATAATCCCTGCATTATCAGCCAAATTATAAGGTTGTCCGTTTTCAAGATCAAATATAAAGAAATTTAAAATAGGCTCAAAATATCTAACCAAGTCAATAACAATCCTCTAACACCAGTGTCATCATGCTATACGAAAAACAGTGGCAGCTTCTCATTCCTGAGATTACCACGAATCCATCGATACCAAGTTTGTCCTGGTCCATGACTGGGAAGGAGCTGAAATATCCACACAGAGTGAACCTGTTTTTACTGCGAGGTCTGCCAATTAATTGGCGGCGGCCGCCCGCGATAATAATTCTGATTAATATATATATATATTAATTAGTGTTATCACTGATAACAGCGATAACACGGAATAACCTTACAATTATATTTAATTAGGTTGATTAACCCTCCTCTTTTCCTGGGACATTTCCACTGTTCACTTCATTTACACATCAAGGGATCATTTATGTCTAACCAAACAGAGAAGAAACACTTTATATGTTGAAATTAAAAGTCCTCTTTAACTGAAAATAGTGCAATTTAACAGTT